TTATATTTTTATTGTTGTGATTTCAATTTCTTTTTTTTTACCTAATTTTGTTTGATAACCTCTTTATTTATTTATTTTTTTTATCCCAAATTAAGATTTTTTTTTTTTTTTTAGTTTTTAAAATAATCCGTTTAAAGTGGGTGGAATTCAACAAAATAAATTACAATTTAAATTCTTTTAAAAATTTTTTTTATTTTTTTTTTTATCCTTATTTTATTTCCTTTATTTTATAATATTAAAAAATTAGTTTAAAAAATTAATAAATTGAATATAAATAAACAAATATTACGGAGTTAAACTTAACGGACTAATATTTTATTTTTTAAAATTTTTTTTTTTTTTTTTTTAATTTTTTTTAAATTTTTCCTTTTTTTTTTTTTTTTTTTTTTTTTTTTTTTTATTATTTTTTAATTTTCACCAATTTCATTTTTATATTATTTTTATTTATCCATAATATAATATTTGTTTTATTTATATTAAAGTTTAAATAAAATTATAGTTATTTTTAATATTTATAAATTTTTTTCATAAATATTTATATATATATTTATTATTTAAAATAAACTAAAATGGAAACAGAAAATAATTCAAATACAGTTGTTGAAGAAACAAAAACAACAGTTGAAGAATCACCAAAAGTAGAAGGGTCAAACAATTCTACTCAATCAACTAATGACGAAAATAATGAAACAACAGGCGAGGATGAAGATTCAATTAAAAAAGTTCAACGTAAGAATAATAGTGCAATGTTTGATGAAGAAGAAGAAGAAGAAGAAGAAATTTATAGTACTCAAAATCCACCAAAAATAAATAGTAAATTATCAGACGAAGAAGATAATAAAGAGGAGGAAGTTGCCACAAATAATGAAGAAAAATCAAATACCACAACTACTACCACCACAGAAAATGAAGGAGAGGAAGAATCAGCAGTTGAAAAGTCTTTAGATGAAGATGATAATGAAAATGAAAATGAAAACGAAAACGAAAATGATAATGAAAATGAAAATGAAAACGAAGAGGAGACAAATGATGAAGAAGGCGGCGAAAAGAAAGAAACCAAAGAAGAAAGAAAAGAAAGAAAGAAAAGAGAAAAATTAGCAAAAAAAGAGGCAAAAGCAGCAAAGAAAGCCGAAAAAAAAGCAAAGAAAGCAGCAAAGAAGGCCGAGGAAGGTGAAGGTAAAGATTTAGAGGAAACAGTTAAAAAGACCGATGGTGATTTAGATTTTGATGATGAAGAAGAAAATCAAGCAGTTGATGAAAATGATGAAGAAGGTGGCGAAAAGAAACATAAGAGACTTGGTAGAATGAAGAAATTAAAGAAATTAAATCAAGATGACAGCACAGATAACATTGAAGACGATGATATAGAAATGGGCGAAACAAAGAAAAAGAGAAAGAAAGACGATGATGAAGATTACAAAGATGAGGATGATGAAGAGCAACCAGCAGAAGATAATGGCGATGATGGTAATGGCGATGAAATGGAAGAAGAGGATGAGGATGGTTCACCAAAGAAGAAAAGCAAGAAAAGCAAAAAGGCCAAAAAAGCAAAAAAAGAAAAAGCACCAAAAGAACCAAAACCAAAAAAACAAAAGGCCGATGATGATTTTATCAAGAAACCTGCTCGTAGAAATGTTGATGTTAAAAGTTATTTAGATAAAGAATCTGGTTCAGTTGATAGACTCATTATTGATATGAAAGAAGCTTGTCAAAAGGATAAAGTTGCAAATAGAAGCAGACAACCAGCACTCAATAAAACCCAATTATTACAATCAATCGACAAATTATGTTCAAATAAATATTTACTCCCACTTCTCGTAGAAAAGGGAATCTATGAGGTTATTGGCGATTGGTTAAAACCATTACCAGATGGCAGTTTACCAAACCAAAGAGTAAAAGAAGTTTTATTAAAAGTTCTCCTCAACCTTCCAGTTGGTGAATTTGGTGGTCCAAATAAAGATCTTGATAAATCAATTTATAATATTCAACGTAATCCAAGCGAAACTGCCTCACTTAAGAAACTTGCATTCGATATTCACGATAAATGGCACAACCCAAATGTAAACTATAAAAATGATTATAATGCAGTTCATGTCGATTTAAGCTCAGTTCATAACCCAATGAAAAAGAATTCAGATGCACTTTTAACTAAAAACAATACTGATATCTATTTACCAGAACATATCAAACATGCCTCGGGTTGTCAAAAAGTTAAATTAGATTATGTAAACAGACCAGTTGGTATTGTTGTAAAGTATCAAATATAATATATCTATTTTTATATAACTAAATTTCGTATTTGTTTCTAATAATACTTTTGTAATTTTAGTCAAAACCAATCAACTCACCAGTTAGAACTATTAACAGAATTGATAAAGAAATAGAAAAGAAATTAAAGAAAACAGTACAAAGAGGAAGTGGTCGTGCTCAAGAGATATCAGTTGAAGGTAGAAAACTCATTTTGTAAAATTTAATATTCGTTTATAAAAAAAAAAAAATAGAAAAAATACAATGCACAATACTTTTGTCATATATTTATTTTTATGTTAAAATAAACTTTTTTTTTTTTAAAAAAATAAACTTTTGGTATTCATTCCATTTTAAATAATATAATATATATAAATTTTATTTTTAAAGTTTATGGTTTATTTACACAATTTATATTTTATATTTTAAATATATCTAATCATCATCACTAAGAATGATAATTTGATGGGAGGCTCCGTTATTGTTGTTGGTGCTGTTGTTGCTGTTGTTGTTGTTGTTTTTGTTTTTATGTGAATAACTTGGGGCTGATCTATAGTAATCGTCTCCAGAACTCGAATCATTATACATAAACCCAAATCCCCCACTCACAATTTCACCTTCGTCATCTTCATCCTCGTCTTCATCTTCATCTTCGTCTTCATCTTCGTCTTCATCTTCATCCTCGTTATAATATTCTTCATCTTCAGTTTCATATTCATTGTATCTATTATAAGGTCGAGCTCTATTTACTGCATTATTCATGAAATTTATATTATTAGTGTGATTTATGTTATTGACACGTATATTATTTGTATTATTTATATTTATATTATTATCATCATCATTTTCATTATTTACAATATTACTAATTGAGTTGTTTGTTAAAGTTGGTCTTTGTGCTGGTAAAGTTGGCACAGAACTACTTTCATCATCTGAATCTAATAAATCTACCACTACAATACTATTATTTGTTGAGTTTAAATTTGTTGATTTTTGATTAAGGTCATGATTATCATATTTTGAATCAACATCACTATCTTTATCGTTGCCTGAATCTATTTCATTTTTGTATTCCCAATGACCATCAGAAAATAATGTTATAATTTCACAATTAGATGGTGCTGAGGACATTAGTTTATAAAAGAAAAGATCAAATTGTAATTGGGATGGTGGTGATGGTACATGACATATTGGACAATTCCATAGTTGTTGCTGATTTGAATATTCAACAAAACTCTATAGAAATTAATTAATGTTAGTTAAATAATGATAATAATAAAAATATAAATAGTTTTATATAAAACACAACTTACTAATAAATCGAAACATTGATTATGTGTACATTTTTTTGATTTACCTGGATATTCTATTTTTTTAAAAGAGAGTGGACATCTTAGAGACAAATCAAAATTCAATTCTTCTAAGTCATCCTCACTTTTTTTTTGTTTTTTCTCGGCAGATTCCAAAGGTTCGGTTTCGGCTCTTTCTTTAATTTTATCACAGACATTTTTAGCTGAAATGCTCTTTAGTAATTGAACAACCAATATTCCAGAGGTGCCACGAAAATTTATATATATTTTATTTAATGATTTCTTAAGATAGGGAGTTATATCTATTGGTTTTTGAATAACAAAAGGTTGAGAGAAAATTCTAGTTCTAACTTTTTTAAATTGATCTTGAGGGATGGTTTTGTTATTGATATCTACATGTAATTCATTTTGGTATAGTACATCTTGACCAGTGTTTTTGTTGAATAAACGTACTTGAACACTATATTCGTTTTCACCTAAAGGTAAATTTTTTAATTTCTTTTGTTGAACCTCTTCAATAAGTTTCCAAGTTGAATCATCAAAGTCGAAATTTACTGAACAGTAGTCTTTATATTGGGAAACTGAAATCTTATCAATCTCTTCTAAAAATGGAGTTTGTCTGTCTTCGTATTCTGGATCATTTAGTGATAAATCTGGTTTTGGTAAGTGAACTTGAACTTCATTTAAATATCTCTTTAATGATGATAATGTGTCCTGGTAATTCAATGGTGGTAATTCTTTGATTAGATCCGCTGTATTTAGCAATGAGCTATTTAAAGCTGAAACCTGGGTTTGGTTTAGTTTGTATTGGTGGTGATGTTGATGATGAAGATTATGATGATGCTGTTGCTGTAACAGAAAGATCTGTTGTTCATCTATTAGTGGTTGGTATTTTAAATGTTGTTGTTGTTGTTGTTGTTGGAAAAAATGAATCCTATTTTGATTTACTGATGATTTGTGTGAGTTTGTTTTTGGTGGAAGAAAGGTAGAGGGGGTGTAAGGTGAGACACCTGAGAAAACTAAATCTCTTAAGACTATTATTAATTCTGGTTTATTTAGAAATGTTTTAAAATTTTGAGTTGGTCTATATACTTTTAATATTTTTAATATACCCTTGATTTCATCCAGTTTTAAAGACTTTATCTCCAAAATTTTCCTAAATATTATAAAAAACAAAGAGTTAGTTTAAGATTTAAAAACAAATCGTAAATCCTTTATATTTATTTTTTACTTTTCAAAGATTGATTCAAATTGATTTATGCTTATAACCCGAGTAGTAATTTCTCTTTTTTCTTCGCTTGTTATATTGCTGCCTGTCATTTTATTATTATTTTATACAAAATATAAATATATATTATAATGACTATAAATATTATATGAACATAAAAAGTGATATATAATTTATTTAAATAAAAAAATTATACAAAAAAATAAAATTTAAATTAATGAATGGTTATATAATTAATTAAAGAATAGAATATGGCAATGTAGTATTGTTATAAAAAAGTATTAACACTATAGTGTATAACATTAGAAAAATTAAAAAAATTTTTTTTAAAAATAAAAATAAATTTTTTAAAAATTAAAAAAAATAAAAAAAAATAAAATTTTTTTTTTTTTTTTTTTTCTAAGTAGTTTTATCTTTATTTAAATTAAAAACTTAATAATTTTTATGTGTGTTAATTTTAGAACATATATTTATTGACTTTAAATTTTAATTTTTTTAATTTTTTTTTTTTTTTTTTTTTTTTTTTTTTTTTTTTTTTAGTTTATCATTATTGTTAGTGAATGGGTCGAGGGTATAATTTGTTTGGTTTTAAATAGTTCGCAAGTAACAATAAATTTAAAGGATTCTCTTTCGAAAAATATAACATCCAATTTGTGATTGTAGGTAGAATTAGGTTGGAGCTCCGATATTGGAGTGGTGAGTGAGCCTACATAACCTAATTTCTTGGAGAGGTCATTTAGGGATTGTAACTTGTTTGGTAATTGTTGATCTATGGTTGGTTGGATATGTAATACTAAGCCATTAATTACTTGGTTGGTTAAATTCTTTACAGAAACTTCTATTGAGGTGAATTCGCCAAGTTGAACATTTTTTAATAATTGATTATCTTTGAATTCAATAAGCACAGAGTCATTATTTAATTTTTGAAGTCTTTTTGGTGTGAGTTTGATATTGTTTAACAATATTATACCCTTAGTGTTATCTGAAGAAGTCCAATTTAATCTGATGTTTTGAATAAAGAGATCTTTATAATATTGGATTAAACGGTTCATATACTCTTCATATTCAGTTAACTTTTTCTTTGGTTTGATGTATTGACCTCTAGCTTGTCTTAGCATTGGTAATGATTCTGGTAATGCTTCTCTTTTCATTGGTACTACAATGGTAATGATTGAATTTGGTGATAGAATAAATTTGCATTCTGACATTGACTTTTCAAATAATACTTTTTGATGATTGTCCACATTGTTTAATTGTGATGATATTGTGAATGTGTGTGTTGATGTGCAGTTTTCAATATCGAATAATAATAGGCAATAGTCGTTGTATATATTCTCTGGAATTTCTAAATATCCACTACTATTAATAGATAGATTTGATAGCGATGATGATAATGATGTTGAACCTTCTTGTTGTTGAGTTGGCTTCTCTAATAAATATGGCGATAGTGATTTAATAGTTTTGGAGCTTGCATATACAATATCAAAACTATGGAGTTTTGGACCATGTGTTATGAACATTTGTAAGGGTATTGATATTTTACGTTGATAATTTACTATAGAGTTTGCATTGTTATTTACTGACAATGCTGTGGTGGTACTATTATCTTCGATTGAGGGTATTGATACCGATATCGAGTTTGTTTGGTTACCATTATTACTATAATAATTAATTACAAATTGATTACCTATTAAAAATGGTTTTGTAAAGATTTCGATCGGTAAATTAAAAGATTTTCCAGGTAACAATGGTAAATTTGATTGAATTATATTACTATTCCATGAATATGAGATTGATTCGTCGTCTTGATCTGTTAAATAGGCTTCATTTTGGGATAGTACCTTTTTCTTTAATGTTTTATCAAATTCATTTAAGGTGATTATAATTGATTCGATTGGTACACAACCAATATTTTCAAATTTGAAATTAAATGTACATGATTCACCTGCAAATAAATTTAATGTATTACCCATAGTTGGAACGTAGACATTAAGTAATGGTAAACGTGGAACCACCTTGATCTTGTTTATAACGGTTTCATCTGGTTCTACTGGTACTTCCCATGCTTCTACCTTGTATGCATCTTTACGTACTAGATCATAGTATTCATTTAATGAAATGGCACGACCTTGTGGATTAATTGGATATTCGCTTAATAAGTTGTAGGATCTAATAAAAACACCTTTGATAATTAATGGACCAGCACATAATGCACGTCCGCTAATAACTATATCCATACTCTCGGTTAACGAAAGAATTTTAAAAGAGAGTGGATAAGATTCAAATGGTACACCTGCAGTACTGAGTGTGAGTGATTGAATAAAGATATCGAATGAAAATGGATTGGATAGGGTCACCAAAACAGAACACTCCTCTTGCTCGGTCCAAATAATTTTCTTTATTGATTGTTCGGTCTTTTCGTATGGAGAGTAGATAAAGAACTTATCACGAGCACTTGTTGAGTTTGATGATGTGTTTGGACGAACAATTGGTTCTAAATGTTCAGGTAAAGACATTGGAATAACTTTAGTAATAAATGGTAGGCCTAATGAATTCATATGGACATTTGTATTGATTGAAAGTGGCAGGGCTTTACTGTGATGGCTAAGGTCAACTTGAAATTCATGTTGTTTAGTCTGTGCAATTTGTTTATACTGGGTTCTTAATAAATAAATAATATATTTGCAAATATTCAAAGAGTCATTAAGATTACTGCTTACAGAGATAAGGTTGTATATAATATATCTTTGAATGGTGGTCCAGCCATATTTTGGTTTTCTAATTGAAAGGTCTGGTATATTGGTGTTGAATTTAATAAGTGGTTTAGATGATGATCCCTGTTGCTGCTGTTGTTGTTGATTCGATGGATAGAATTGATTGTTTTGTGGTTGAAATTGTTGACCTGATGGTGAGCTTTTATTTGAGCTGCTGCCACTTCTTGTGACACTATTCGATTTTTTTATTTGATTTAATGTAAAGCTTAAGGTTTTGTTTGTATTTTCGTCCAAAAAAGTTGATGGTGAGTTTGCAAATAAATCATCTAATTGATAATACTTTGAGGCTATAAGAAGTAGATTGCTTATTTTTTCCCAGTTTTCAGGTTTCGTGGTGAAGAGAAAGGCAGCTTCACGTAAATAGAATGCAAACTTTCTTTTGAAACCCATACTATAGTACAATAGACCAATTGAGCAGGCAAGAGGAATTCTATCGTGGAAAGTTAGTTCCCAAGATATATCGTTGGCATTGGTTAAAAGCTCGGATGCTTCAATCTTTCTATCCATGGATATATGATAGTTTGCAAATTTTAAAATAACATCGATTTCAAATCGTACGGTTTTTCTCTTATTGTAACTTTGGATAGCTTCATTGGCTAAATCTTTAATTAATGTATCATCACCTTGAATCTGTATATCTGTTGCGCTCATACTATTTGGACCACTACCAACGCCACTATAACCAGGCCCACCTGGTGTGAATGTAATATTTGGACTTAATGGTTTTGTTGAGTGATTTTGTTGATTGTATTCTTGATTTCTTTTTAATAATACAGCTGAAATATAACCTTCGCATGAACCGCCCAACCATTCTAAATCACTGTTGTTTCTGCAAGACTCTAGAGATTGGTCATAGTATTTGAATGCATCCAATGGAGAGCCCGCTAGTAAACAATAATCACCTTTACATTTATTTAGTCTACCAGCTTTTCTCTTTTTAGCCCTGTTAATTTCATCCCATAGTTTTACAGAGTCTAGCGGTGTTGTAATTAATGAGTTGTTTGTACTAGTAGTTGAACTACCACTAGCAGTATTAATTGATAAACCAATACCACTTGTATTACCACTACTTGCATCTGATTCGCTAACTACTTTTTCAAAATGTTTTAATATCATGTGACTAAAGTCTATGAGTAGAGTTGTCAAGTAGAATATTAAATGTTTACGATCACTGTTATTTGGGATCATAATTAAATTTGCGCCTAAACCTAAATCTTGTTGATCGTCCATTGGGTCAAATGCACAACATAACGATGAAACACATGATGGATATTGATTAACTGCCTGTTCGAATAACTTTTTAGTTACCATCAAGTCTTTGCTCTTTTTACAATCCACAACACCTATAACACCAAATACTTTTTTATAAGTTTGAAACTCTTCATATTCTGATCTTTGATAGGATGATGCATCTACAAAATTTAATAACATACTTCCATCAACCCATGAAATTTTTTCAAATGGTGCTAAAAATATTATTAGTTATGTTAGTATAAATAAAATATATATATAACTATATATATTTATAAATGCAAATATACTTACTTGATTCATTTTGACTTCTAGTTATACTACTTAGTTCTATAATATTAATTGTTTTGATTAAACTTGTATATTCTTTATATTTTTCTGGTGATATGTCGCCAATTGGTAGAATTATAACTTTAATAGATCGATTTTCTGTAAAAGTTAAATTCATCTCCATTTTTTATTCTATATTATTCTGTATTACTATTTATTGTTATTTATACATAAGAAATGATCTGTGTATCTGTGTAATTTTCAAAAAAAATTTAAAATTAATTAAAAAAAAATATAAAAAAAATAAAAAAAATTTTAAAAATTAAAAAAAAAAAAAATATTTTAAAATATTTTTTTTTTAAAATAACAAATAAAATAATTATTTATATAACTTAATAACCAAAATAATTAAATCAAATAAATAACTTTTCTTCTTTTAAAAATTTTATTTGTTTAAAATTGGTTTTATTTTTTCTATTTTTTCCATTTTTTTCTATTTTTTCTTTTTTTAAGTTATTATAAGTGTGTTTGGTGTGAATATCGCGATGGAGGGAACATATTTAGAATTATTTTTTTACACACATTATTGGTTTTTATAAAGACAAATATTATAATTTTTAATTTAAAATTTTAAACAAAAAATAATTTAATAAAAAAAAATAATTTTCAAATACACATTAAAAAAAATGCTTTAAAAAAAAAGAAATTTCAAAATAATAATTATTTTTTTCATTTATGCTTTGTAGACTTAGAAAATATATTAAGAAATGTAACTAAAACTACACATATAGACAAATTATATTTTTTAATTTTATTAATTTTTTTTTATAGTATTTAAACAAGACAGTTATTTAAGGAACACCTGCTGCGACTCTCAATTACTAGATACACTAAATAGAAGTGATAATCACTCTTTTTTAGCTTTTTATAACCATGATGACTTTTAAAATTGTAATTTTAATAAAATCAGGTTCGATAAAAATAATTTGAAATAAAATTTAAAATTTTTTTTAAATTATATTTTTTTTTTAATAATCAAAAAAAATAAAAATTATAATGGTAATATAATTTATTATTATAACTTTAATAGTAGTGAGGAATCTTTCCATGTAATATATAAATTGCTTTTTATTATAATAATCAACCATACTTTTTCCATATACATTTAACCCACTATTTAACTTTTAAAATTTTTTTTTTTTTAACAGAGGCCCTTTCAATTAAAATTCCATTCTTTTTCAGTTAACCATCATATTCAATTAATAAAATTACCAACTGAAGATGATTATAATGCCTCTATAATTACAATATTACGTTGTTCAGCTGAAACTTTTTTAAAAATTTTTTAAAACACTGTTTAACTTTTTTAAAAATTTTTTTCATTATTAAAAAATTTTTTTTTTTTTTTTTCTTTAATATTTTATTCACATACAAATAATCATATACTCATATACTTTTATTTTTTTATTATAATATTTCCCAAATTTTATAATTTTTAATAATTGCAATAATAATTTTTTATAAAATAATTTACAACTCCACGTCAAATCACATTTGACATATCTTTATTAATTACCATTTAAAAATGAATAATTTAATAATTGTTTTTTTATTTGCCATTATTACTTTTTCATTAGTATATTTAATAAATAAATATTTTGCTTACAATAACAATAATAATAACAATAATAATAATAATAGCAATAACAATAATAATAATAACAATAATAACAATAATAGCAATAATAATAATAATAATAATAATAGTAGCATTACCAACACAAATCATTATACCCCAATCATTAATAGCAGCCTCACCAACACACAACCTTCTATTCCAATAAAGAACAACAATATTACCTACTCACAACATTCTGCCCCAATCAACAATAATAATAATAATAACAACAATAATAATAATAGCAATAACAATAATAGCAACTTCACCAACCCACATCATTATACCCCAATCATTAATGGCAGCTTCACCAACACACAACATTCTTCCCCAATCAACAATAATAATAAAAATAACAATAACAATAACAATTACAATAATAGCATAATTAATAGCAACTTCACCGGTACTCAACATTCAACCCCAATCAATAATGGAAACATCACCGGTTCACAACATTCAACCCCAATCAATAATAGCAACTTCACCGGTACACAACATTCAACCCCAATCAACAATGGCAACATCACCGGTACACAACATTCTACCCCAATCAACAAAAGCAACATCACCTACACTCAAAACTCTGCCCCAATTGACAATGATTCAACTCCAAATGATTGCCACCAATACCCACAACAAAACCCACAAGACTCAACATCAAGCAATCAACCACCACAACACCAATTTAACAGCCCAAGTGTCTCATTAGTCAATAGCCCACAATCTCAAGATTATTCAAATTCTTCTCAACAACGTAATATCCCAAAACCACAAAGACATTCATCTGTTCCATCCGCATTTGCATCAACTGGAAATCACACAATCAAGAAGAGATCATTGGAATATGATAATGAAATTATTAAGTGTGATAAACTATTTACCAAAAAACAAAAACTCGAAGATGAAGAGAGTTTAAGAAGGGATAAGCAAATTGCCGAAATGGAAAGATTAAATAAAGAAAGAGAAGAAAGGGCTAAATTTGAAAGACTCAAAGAGATTGAAAGAGTCCAAAAAGAATATAGAGAAAGGGAAGAGTTAGAAAGAATCGAAATACTAGAAAGAGAAAGACAAATAAAAGAAGCTCTAGAAAGAAGAAAATTGGAAATAATTCAAAGAGAAAGAGAATATATGGAAAAACAAGAAAGAGATAGATTACAAAGAATCCAAAGAGACAGAGTAAGAGCAGAAAGAATAAGAGCAACAGAGCAAAGAGAAAGAGAGAGACAAAGAGAAGATAGAGAAAGACAAGAAAGGGAAAGAGCTCAAAGGGAAAACCAAGAAATGGAAAGAGCTCAAAGGGAAAGAGAAGAAAATGAGAGGGAAGAAAGAGAAAGATTAGAAAGAGATAATTTGGAAGGTGAACGTTTAGAAACCAATGAAAAATGTACCATTTGTCTTAATTTTATAAATATTAATGAAATGGCTACAATTGATTGCCTCCATAAATTTTGCTACGGATGTATTCAACAATGGTCTAATCGTATCAATACCTGCCCAAACTGTAGAGAAGAGTTTCATGACATCATCGTAAGTAATTTACACATTCATATCTATACTTAATAAAAATATATATTAATTAATTTCATTAATAATTTATTCAGAGAGTAACTAATGCTGCAAACTTATAAGTCCACGAATTAGGCATCACATTAGTTCAACTATACAGAAACAATTATAGATGTTCAAAGTCAATTTTATAACAAAAAAACTCTTAAGGTAACTATAATTAAAATATTTAAAATAAAAATAATTATTTAAAAATATGGTTCTTGTTCTTTCTTCCTCCGTATCAACACATTTATGTCACAATTCAAACTTTGGGTTCACGTTTATTCTTTCTTTTCCGGTATCAACAGTTATAAGTCACAAATTAATACTTTCTCTTTCGGCACATCACACTTAAGTAACAAATCAAACATTGGGTTCTTGTTTATTCTCTTTCGGTACATCAAATTTAAGTAACAAATCAAACATTGGGTTCTTGTTTATTCTCTCTTTTTCAGTATCAACAAATCATACATTGGGGTTCTTTCTTTCTTTTTCGGTACAAAACTTTTAAGTCACACATCAAATATTGGGGTTTTTATTCTTTCTTATTCAGGCAACGCATAAAACACACAAATCAAATATTGGGGTTTTTATTCTTTCTTATTCAGTGTCAACACATTTAAGGCACAAATCAAATATTGGGGTTTTAATTCTTTCTTATTCAGTGTCAACACTTTTAAGTGACACATCAAATATTGGGGTTTTTATTCTTTCCTATTCAGTGTCAACACATTTAAGGCACAAATCAAACATTGGGGTTTTGCTTATCCATCTACTATTCAAACACCTACTCCCACGCCAATAGAGGCAATCAAAATGTTTCATTAGAAAAAATCTTACTATTTATATAAATAAATATACATATAAACAAAATAGATATAACTAAACAATTTACTTTTTATAAAAAATTAAAAAAACAAATTAAAATTCAGTATCTTTTTGAAAAAAAGTTTTTTTCATAATTATTATAAAAGTTATTTATAATATTTAATAAATATTTAATCTTTATTTTTTATTAATTAATGTTTAATCTAAAATTATAAAACTAACTCTTTATGAAATATAAAAATTAACGATTTGATTGTTTAATGAATAGGTGATTGTAATTTTTCGATATTTTGATGATATCAAATGAACTTAATGATAATCTTTTAAGGTTGTTGGGGATACAATCTGTTGAAATAGGTTTGTTATATTCGCCTAGATTTAATATGCTGCCCTGGTAAATGATCTCTAAATAGGATTTTCGATGATAATATTCTAATTTGGAATTCGTTTATTCCATATTAAAAATAGTATTATTGTTGTTCATTAAAATAAAAATATATAAAAAAATAAAATAAAAATTCTATAAAACTTTGTATTAAATAAAACTATAATAATATCTGAAGTTTTTTTTTATGTCTAAACTTTATTTAAATATTTTGATAACTTTTCATTATTTTCATTTAATATTTTCTTTTTTCTTTGGTTTATAAAATAAATTGAGAATACAAATACAACTAAAATCCCAACCTAAAATAATATGATAATTAGTATATTGTTTGTATATAATTTTAAATGAAAATAATGATGCACTTACTTCAAAATATAAAATATCAAAAGCTAAGGTTTTTTGTTGATTTGTTTTATCGCTAAGTTGGTTATTATTGGCTCTGTTTGATTCTAATTCACTATTTCTTTTGCTGTTTAGTAATTTGGTTTCTTTTTTTATTTTACTATTGCTTTGGTATTCATCCACCTCGATTAATAGCTCTTCAGATATTTGATTATCATTACTACCAGCACCAGAGTTGCTTATGATTAGTTGTTGCTGTTTCTGTTGTTGTATTTTAGGTTCTTCTATATTACCATTTATATCTTTATTTATTTTATTGGTTTTAAGATTCTCTATATTATTGATATTGTTTAAATTTGTTTCTGCAAAAACATTTTGTATAGCTAAACTTATTATTAAAAATATTAAGAAATACTTTATTCTACTTTTCATTATTATTATTATTATATTATTTATTGTATATATTATTTGAAAAAAAAAAAAAAAAAAAGATAACACAATATTAATAATTTATATGTAAATATATGTGTTGTTAATTTAAAAATATAAAATGTGTTTTAAAAAAAAAATTTATGATATTAATATTTATTTGTATTGGTACAGTATATAACAAGTTTATTTTTTTTTTGTCTTTCTAACCACAAAAAAAATAAAATATTTTATTTTATTTTTAAAAAAATTTTTATTTTTATTTTTATTTTTTTTTATTTTTTTTTTTATTTTTAATTATTTTTTAATTTTATTTTTTTTTTTAATTTTCAACTTTTAATTCAAATTACAGTTTAATTTAATTTAAAACTAAATTTGGAATTATGATAATTAATTTGAATTTAAGCGAATATTAATTTAGGTTTATTAATAAGTGTTGGTATTTGTGTTATTATAATAATATCAAAATGCAAAGATATTGCCAATAATTGATAATTTTTTTTGAATTTAAAATTTTTTTAATTTTTTAATATTTTTTTCCCATCTTTTTTAATATTTTCCTTTTTTCTTTTTTTTTTTTTTTTTTTTTTTTTTTTTTTTCATCTAAAAAAAAAAATTGAAAATAATAATTTTTTTTTGTATAATATAATAATAAATAAATAAATAAAATGGGAATTCCATTATTTTTCAGATGGTTAGTTGAAAACTATCCAAAAGTATTAGCAAATGGATATATCGATAAGATTCAATTCGATAACTTATATATCGATATGAATGGTGTTATTCATAATTCTATCAAGGTAGATAAAAGAGGGAAATATGGTTTAATTTACAAAGACGATATTAAAGATGAAGATATCAAGCAGAGTGTTTATTGGAGACTAGATCAAATGATACTCAGTGTTAACCCAAGCAAATTATTGTATATTGGTATTGATGGCGTACCACCAAGAGCTAAAGCAGTTGAACAAAGAAGAAGACGTTTTAAATCAGTTAAAGAATCAAAAGCAAATATTTTGACCGAATTAAAAAAATCAAAACCATATGTTAGCGATGAAGAGCTCTCTGAAATTCAATCTAAAGTTTTTGATTCAAATTCCATATCACCAGCCACCGAGTTTATTGAAAAGATAAATCAATGGATCAAAGAATATTGCGAAAAGTTATCAACTGAAAGACCATCTTTAACAATTGTATTATCAGACTCAACTGTACCAGGTGAAGGTGAACATAAAATTATGGATTATATAAGATCAAATCATTCAAAACTAATTGCTACTGGCGAAAAGCAATTGACCCATTGTTTCTATGGTATGGATGCTGATTTAATTTTCTTGGGTTTAGAAACACATTTACCAAATTTCTATATTCTCAGAGACTCATTACATCTATTGGAATGTAAAACTTGCGACTCAAAAGATCATTTATCGTATGAATGTAAATCTGCCTATGCTATCAAAAAATCATTAATTAAAAAGTCAACAGTGGTTGTATTAAAGCAGGTTCCAACATCATGCAGCGAACAAGATATCCGAAACTTATTCTCCTTTTATGGTAATATTAAAAAATTCGAAGCTAAAAGATCAAATACAAAGACTCCATCATTACAGTAAGCATTATAATTACCACTAGATTTATCTCAGAGTTTTAAATATTAATACCTTTATGCAGAGTTATTTTAGAGTTTGAAAATGAAGAAACTGTAAATTTAATTTCAAAAACAGGTTTAGCATTTATAGTTAATAATAGAAAAGTACCCGTTGTAGTTGAATTTTTAGATAATCCATTTAGAAGCACCGATGACGAAGTTGTTGGGGGATTAAGTGGCACCAAAAATGAAGATGGTGATGACAATGAAACCACTGATAAAAAAGAATCAAACAATGACGAAGACAATCAAGATAATAACACAGTTGTTGATGAAAATGTACCAGAAAATACAGTCTATATTGGTGGATTGGATTTATTAATATCGAAATTCGACATCAAAACATTCTTTGAACAATTTGGTCCAATCGAAACTTTTACTTTAGCCAAATCACCAAGATTCCAAAAACAACAATATTGTATGGTTAAATATAAAACTCAAGAATCTGCTAGATTGGCTTTTAAAAGTTCAGGTATTGAATTTTTTGGTACAGTATTAAATATAAAGAAAGTTGCATCAAAAACCACAACAGCCACTACCGCATCAACTACCAATTCCACACCAGTTACTAAGGCCACTAATACTGAAGGAGACGCTGCTCTACCAACAAATACTACCCCAACCCCAACTCCAACTCCAACCTCTACCCCAACCCCTATCAAAAAAGATGATGCCAAAAAATTAGAAGCTAAGGAATTAAAAAGAATAGAAAATGAAACTAAAACTGAACAATTTTTGAAACAATTAGATGAAGGAACACCAAAAGAAGTTTCATCATTTTATCTTAGTATTTCTGGATGGGATATCGATAGGGCCTATGAAAACTATATCAAATTTGGTAAAGCTACATTAAAGTGCCCACCAACTAAAGGTTTTGTAGGTAATGCTTTCGATTTTGTAAATCTCGATTCATTTAGACTTTACCTTGAGTATTATTTACTGGAAAATATAGATCAAGAACGACGAGAAAAAGTAGATTTTAACCGATGTATCAATGATATAACCCTTCTTTGTACTTTACTTGGTAACGATTTTGTACCACACTTACCATCTTTCCTTATTTCGTTTGGTTCACTCGAATTAACACTATGCTGGTACAAAGACTGGATTCAAAAATCAATAGAAACAATTACCAAAGATAATTCTCAAAGTTTACACTATGTTACAAATCAAGAGGCTACAAAAATTGTATTCGAAAACATTATTCCATTGTTTGAATCTTTAACTAAATGGGAATCTTATCAATATCCAGCGTTTTTAAAGAAACAAATTATTAAAAATAATAGAAAAGAAATGTATAAGCAATCATCTTCAGCACCACCAACACCATCCCAATCAACATCAATATCAACTCCATCCGCCCCATCAACACCATCAACCAATATTCATACATTAAAAGAATTAAATGGTCCAAACAATAAACCATTACCACCTCCACCAACACCAAACAATCAAACAGAGGAAGATGTTGAATATAATGATTTAACATATTATCGTGTTAAATTTGAAATGATGGAAAAAAGTGATGAGGAAGTAAAGAAATTAGTTGAAGAGATGTGTTATCAATATGTTTTAGCCCTTCATTGGATCTTGGCCTATTATACCCAAGGATGTCCTTCCTGGACCTGGTTTTACCCTTACCATTATGCCCCATTAGCCAAAGATCTTTTAGAGTATATAAAAAGAATATCAAATGAACCAAATTGTTATGAACAATTTAAATTCAAATTAAATGAACCAATGCAACCATTAATTCATCTTACAAGTATCTTACCAAGAAACAGTAGTCAATTTTTACCAGCACCACTTAAAGATTTAATGTATTCGCCATCACCAGTATCATATCTATATAACGAAGATTGCAAGATTGATATGAACGGTGAGTTTGCTTTATGGAAGGGTATTCTCTTATTACCATTCATGGAGTATTCACAACTTTTCGATTTAGCATTACCAATAGTTCAGGATCAACTCAGCGATGAAGAAAAGAAAAGAAACTTATTTGGTAAAAATTTCAAAATTCATAATGGTCAAGTAGAGTTATTAGAATCAAATAAATTAAAAGCTTCAAAAGAAATTGAAATCAAATTACACGAAGTTGAAAAGCCAATCGAAGACTTTAACAATGCAGTATTATTAGCCGATAATATGACAATTGCTGATTTAAGATACCCAACTCGTAGACTTTCCACACTCTCACCATATGATTCTGATGACTATGATTCATTCCAAGCCATTCCAACCACCCAAGCACCAAGTTTAAATCGTATAGAGGCTCCTAAACTTTCCGAAAATCAAATAAAATTCTTGGATTGGAGAAAGAATGTAACTGGCATCAACAAGTCCATGGAAATTTTAGAAACTATCGATTTTAATAAATGCTATTGTGTAAATATCGACAAAAAATCAATATCAGCTACAACTCCTTCAAACTCAATTGTATCCTATCTAGGTAGACTATTAAATAATGAAGCACCACCAAGTGACACCGATATATCAATTAAATCAATTGACGATTCACAGATGATTATAAATATTGGTTTCACAAAACCTGTCAAACTAAACACAATCCATTTCGTCTCTGAAGATCCATCCTCTAGCAGCAGTGTACCAAATGTCATAAAAATCTATATTAACCAGCCAAATTCGATTGATTTTTCAAATGTTGACTCAATTAAAGAAACAACCTGTTTAAATTTCGAATCACCTGATCAATTAAAATTATGTTCAAAACCATACACATTCAATCCAAATCTTTATAAATCAGTTTTGGATTTAACAATTTTAATCGAGTCTAATTTTTCAAATAACAAAAATCAAATCTCATCATTAAAAAAAATAATATTATCATAAATAAACAAATTTTGCTGTATATAGTAAATTAAAAAAATAATTTTTTTTTTATATATTTATTTTATTTTTTTATAAATATATTTTTTTTAAATTTTTTTTTATAAATTTTATTTTTTTTTTTTTTTTTTATTTTTTTTTATTATTTTTTTTTAATTTAAAATTTATAACTTTTTTTTTTATTGCAATCTATTTTAATACTACTTTATACACAATGTCGTTTTTTGATGAAGATATTAAAAAGTCAGTATGGGAGGGGAAAATACCGATCATATTTACCCTATCTCCTGATGATTTAACTTCTCATTTACCACCTTCCCCATACACAGTATGTATAATTAATAAAATATTATTATAGTTAATAGTAATACTAATAACATTTTTATTTAGTTTATGGCACCAAGAAACAGTTATTTTCCTTTAATTACAAGCGTTGTTAAAGAATATTTTTCATCAAGCACTCTAGTATTATTAGATGAAATGTGGTTAGAATATAGAGGCATTCCATTAAAATGGCATGTACCAATAGGTGTATTATATGATACATTAGTATTAAGCAAGAGTGGAGGTGTTATAGAGCAACCATATTGGAATATTGTAGTTCACTTTCAATCATATCCAGATAAAATTTTATTAAAATGTCCAAATATTGAAGCTGTTAGAACTTATTATAAAAATGTATTAAAAGAAGCTACATTTATTAAACAAGGTGATATTAATAAATTTAATAATTTAACAATCAATCAATCAAATGATCTATGGGATGGTTTAAAAAATCGTAAGTAATAAATACTACAATATTAATTTTAAAACTGTACTGTATAATTAACTCATACCTCTATTACACTTAATTTAGATGACTATGACAAATTTTGGTCAGTTAATAAAAAATTTGCACCAAACTCTTATAAAGAATATAAAAATATACCAATTAGATTAATTATTAATTATAAACCACCAGTTCAAGAATTAATACCAGTTTATGATGGGGAAAATTCAACAACAGAAATCACATTAGAAAACTTATTTTCAAAAATACCTTATGATTCAGTTTCAAGTTTATTTAATTATATAAGTAATAGTAATAATACAGGTAATTTATCACCACCATTATCACCATCAGATAGAAACTCTGCCGAAGTTGACAATAATATAGAGAATTCAATTAATCAGTCATCTTTACCACCATCAGCAGAGTATTCAAATCTTCTTCAATTTATGAAAGCTTGTGGTATCAAATATAGAATACAAGGTATCGAGCCACCTTTAGATTCAAGTGCTGTTTGGTTATATGAATATTTTTCACATCCCGATAATTTTATTTATATTACTTTGTTTGATCCTTCAAATTTAGATAATAATAGTTTTAATTATAACCTCAATAATAGCAACAAAAATAGCAACAACAATAATAATAATGAATAATAATATATATTATTAATTTATAAAATAATAAAATTTGTATATTCCAAAAAAAAAAAAAAAGTCTGGAAATATCATAAATTTTTTTTTTTATTTCCAAAAAACAAATAAAAAAATAATATCCAGGTTTTTTATGTAGAAAATAATAGGAATTAATTGGAAATATATATAAATATTAAAACTTTCTATTTTATATATTAGATTATTTTTAATTGTATTAAGGTTCTTAATTTTTTCAGTTGTTTTTTTATATAATTTTTTTCTATAAAAATAATTCTATTTCAAGAACCAAATTTACACAAACCACTAAATTTTTAAATTTTTTTTGCACTAAATTTTGAAATTATTAATTTGTGGGTAAACTTAAACCTTTTTTACAATATAAAATTTTATTTAATTTTTTTTTTTTTAAATTTTTATTGATTTTTTTTAATGACATATGATGCTGAAAATTTTTTTTGAGCAGCTTTCTAAATTAACAAAATGTCATCCATTAAAATAAGAAGATCATCACTTTCATCTGTTAATAATGCAACAACACCAACACCCAACAATAGCAACTACATCAGTAACACTAACATCAAACCAATAGTAATGCTATTAAAAAAATAAGAAAATCAATAGATATAGAGTGCGAAAATAATAAAGATAGTTTAGTTAAAAAGAAGAGGATGAAGATGTTATGAGAAATGAAAATATAGCGCCAGTAGATACATAAGGGGAATGATTTAATATCGATGAGACCAAAAGAAGATTTCATGATGTTTATTGTCATCACAAACTAAAGATCAAGTTACAGATGCGGTAATGGTCGGATTAAAAAAATGTGGATTAAATGATGAAAAGGTTTTAAAAACAACAAATGAAAAATTAGAGACTCTTATTCACCCGGTTGGGTTTTATAGAAGGAAAGCAGTTTATCTAGAAAATTTAAAAGAAAAGTATAATGGAGATACCACCAACATTCAAAGAGACCAAAGCATTACCATGTATAGTCCCAAATGACAAATTTAATTGCATGGGGAAGAGAAAAAGGAAGATCTCTGTCGATGTACATATGCACAGAATCTGTGGCCGATTAGGATGGGCTAAAACCAAGTGTTCATCATGCCCAGTAAATAACCTTTGCCTCGTTGGCATCAAAGAAATGAAATCTTTAATTAAAAAGAAAAAAAAAAAAGATTGTTAAAAAAAATTTAAAAAAAAGGAAAAAAAAGAAGAAAATTATGATGTGTGTATGTACTGTTATTTTAGATCTATTGGAGATTTTTATAAAATGGATAAAAATGATAAATTTTTTTAAAAAAAAAAATTATATTTTTTAAAAAATGAATAAGTAAACGAGGATAACGATAATTTTACAAATCTATAGATGGTGTTGCATAAATGTGGTGTTTGGGGTGTTATTTAAATAAAGATTAAAAAATTATAAAAAAAAAAAAAAAGATAATAAAAGAGTTATTAAATTATATAGACGTGCAGTTTTTTTACCCAAATTACATTCTTTTTTAATTTTTTTTTTGTAATATTTTTTTTTTATTTTTTAATCTTTATAAATACATCAAATCTAAAGTAATCCAGCACAAATAGATTATATATAAAATAAAGATACCTAAATTATTTATCAGTTTTTAACAGATTTTATTTTTTAGGTCATATTATTAATCAGTTTTTAATTAATTTATTATCATTTAAGTTTATTTTGTTTTAAAAAACTTAAATAATTATAAATAAAAAAATTATTTCAGTTCAATTCAAACAACAATTAATAAATATAAAATAAAAAATAAAAAAAATATTCATAAAATTATTATTCAAACATTAATATTATGTGTGAAAATATTATAGAAGAAAATTTAGTAGCTGTAATTGGTATTGGCTTTAGGTTACCAAGTGGAAATATAAATGAATCAATTGATGCTCCAAGTCAACTATTTAACAATTTAATGAATGGTTTAAATGGCGTAGTTAACATTAGAGAAAGATGGAATGAAGGTTTCAAAAATGAATTTGACTGTAGTAGTGCCGGTTTTTTACCTTTGGAGGAATGGAAGCTCTTTGACCCTGTTTTTTTTGGTTTAAATCCAGGTGAAGCTGAAACAATTGATCCACAGCAAAGACTTTTGTTAAAGTGCACCTATGAGGCATTGGAAGATGGTGGTATAGATCCAATAACACTACGTGGTTCAAACACAAGTGTTTATATTGGGTGCTCTACTCAAGATTACAGGGATATTGGTCGTTCGTTATCTTCAGCCCAAAGTAATATATTCGGAAAAACGTCTCATTCAGCATCAAATAGAATTTCATATTGCTTTGATTTTCATGGACCTTCATTCACAATAGACTCTGCTTGCTCATCTTCAACAACATCTATTATATTAGGTTATGAATCAATAAAATCTGGAAAGTCAAACTGTTCTATTGTCGGTGGTGTAAATATGATTATAGGTATGTTTTGTTATTTAAACAATAGTTTTTATAAATTATAATAATACTAATGTTGTTTTTATTAGATTTACCCACATATAGATCATTTTCACTTATGAATATATTAAGTAAAAAAGCAGGAAGATGTATGACTTTTGATGCCGATGCTGATGGCTATGTTCGTTCAGAAGGTGTTGGTGTGGTTGTCCTAAAAAATTTAAATCATGCAATTAAAGATGGTAATGATATTTATTGCGTAGTTTCTGGAGCAAGTTTAAATGTTGATGGTAATGGCTTAGAAGATAAGTTAAATTTTTACTCACCATCTTCCATCTCTCAGGCAGAAAATATTAAAATGGCACTTAAATCAACTAATGGGTTAGTGGATAGATCTGACATTGATTATATCGAGTGCCATGGAACTGGTACACCTAAAGGTGATCCAGTTGAGTTAGAAGGTATTTCAATGGTTTTTAAAGACAGTACTGCTCACTCCCCATCCAACCCATTGTTAGTAGGTTCTATAAAATCAAACATTGGTCATCTAGAAGGTAATATTATTTTTATTGTTTTTATTTTAAATAGTTTTATTAATATTAATATAATATTTTTTAATTATATAAGCTTGTTCCGGTGTTGCATCATTAATAAAATGCTGTTTAATGTTTAAAAATAAATGTTTTTTACCCAATATTAATTTTAAAAATCCAAATCCTTTAATCAAGTTTGATGAGTGGAATTTAAAGGTTGTCACACAACCAATGAAATTCAATGAAGACAAACAAATTTCAATGATTATAAATAATTTTGGTGTAACTGGTAGGTAATATTTAAACAATATTTCATTTTTTCAAACTAAATACTAATTATTTTTTTTGGAATAAAACAGGTTCAAACTCATGCTTGATTTTACAACAGTTCAAAAATAAAAACAAATCAATAAATAAACTCGAACATAAGAGTTATTTAATACCATTTTCATCTTGTAGTGCTGTCTCACTAAAGAAATATCAAGAGTCGATTGTTTTAAAAGATAATGACTTCAATACCTTTGTTTTAAATCAAATTTATAAAAAATCTTTATCCCTTTATCAAAGATCAGTTATTATTGCTAGAGATTCTAAAGAATTCAATAATATAGAAAAAAGAACACAATTTCAAACAAAAAACGATTTTCTTTCTAATATATCAATAAAACAAAATAATCCAACAGTCGTATATATCCTTTGTGGTCAAGGTTCACAGTATAATAAAATGGGATTAGAGCTATATAAAAATGAACCAGTATTTAGAGATGCTTTGGATTTGATGAATACAAAATTTTCAGATTATTACGGATATTCCATTTTAGAGAAATTAAGATTAATTGAAGATAGTGACTCTGTATCTATAAATCAGCAAATTATAGTTCAGCCATCTAATATTATGATACAAGTTGGGTTGTTTGAATTGTATAAGCATTGGGGTGTAGAGCCATCGGTTATAATTGGCCATTCTTTGGGTGAAATTTCTACAGCTTACTGCTCTGGTATGATTGATATGGATACTTTATGCTACTTGGTTTATAATAGATCTATTTTACAACAAAAAACACAAGGTACTGGCAGAATGTTATCAATAAATATCAGTTCAGAACAATTTAAAAACGATTATTCATCAAAATATCCAACTCTAGAAATTGCTTGTTACAATTCACCATCTTCCATTGTTATTGCCGGTAATGAAGACCATTTAAATGAAATATATAATAGTGCAAAAGAAAAAGGTATTTTTGCTGTAATGCTTGGGTCTTTAACAGCAATCCATACAAGCTCTCAAATGGCCATAAAAGATGAAATTTTGGAATTAAATTTTAAATCTCAGCAACCAAAAACTCCAACATTTTCAACTGTAACAGCCGAATTGTTTAACCATGACCTCCTCTTTAATTCTCAATATGTGTATCACAATATTTTACAGCCAGTAAAGTTTGATCAAACTATTTCAAATCTTTATAAATTTATAGAAGAAAACCAACTAAATTCAAATGTATGTTTTATAGAAATTTCACCACATCCAACTTTAATATTTTACCTAAAACAAATGGTCCCAAATAACTCAAAATATTTTAATAATGGAAAATCTATAGATTTTTATACTTCTCTTAATAGAAAAAAAAATGATTCATCCGAAATCCAAAAAACAATTTCAGAATTATTTTGCAGCGGTTATAACGGAATAAACTTTAAGAGCCAATTTAATAATCAAAAGTACACACCTGATAGTGGTTGCTATAATTTGCCTTTATACAAATGGGATGATAAAGCCTACTGGATAGAAGATACACTCCATCAACAATTAAGAATTGATGGTCCATCTGTTGATCACTTGGGTATTTCTAATAAAGAGGCTTCACCATTTATTAAATCTTTCCAAGCTTTTATTGATATTGCCAAGTTACCATTTCAATATCTAATGGGCCATCAAATTAAGGGTAAATATTATTATCCTGGATGTGGCTACATTATAAACTTAATTAAAATTTTTTCAAACCAAGATATAACAATTAGCCATATGGAATTTAAAACACCTTTGATTCTTAAAAAAGGAAGCAATGAATGCTTACAAACTAATATTTATCAAACCGGTAAAACCGAGTATAAAGTTTTAAATCATTTTAAAGATGGAATAAATCAATGGGTGCAATCTGCAAGTGGTAATTTTCAATTGTTTAGTCATGGTGAAAATATAATCAAATTAAATATTCAAAAAATATTACAGAACCAATGTAACAAAACAGTCATAAAAAAAGAAGAACTTTACGATTTTATCAAAATGAAGACTGGTTTGCAATATTCTGGTGCTTTTAGAGGTGTAGAAAAATGCTTTTTAGGTGATAATTGCTCTCTTTCAATAGTTTCACTTGAATTGCCAAATGGATACATTGACCAGGTGTCAGAAAAGGAACCTACATTTTTCAATACTTCAATTTTAGATTCATGCTTACATGGATTAATTTCATTAATCAACGAACAATCACAAATGGTGTTTGATAATGTTAGTGGCTTTAAATATTATTCAAAAAATATTCCCAAAGATAGAACTGAATTTTCAGAAATCTATGTCTATTCAGAATTAAAGAAAATAATGGGTAATTCTTATGTGGGTTCAATTACAATAATGTTATCAGACGGAACAGTTTTAATTGATATTGATGAAATAGTATGCACATCATTAACCGATACTAAATATCCCTATGTAATTGACTTCCCAAAAGATATAGTTTATACATCTTATTTACAACAAAAAGATTCAATTTTACCACCACCATCAACCTTTAAGTCAATTTTTTATTGTGAGGTAACCAATGAAGTTATTGAAAATTATTCTAATAGTATAAAATTTATTTCAACAACACTCTTAAAATATATTATGGAAAGAAACAAAGATATTCAAATTGATATAGTTAGAAAATTAAATATTGAACAATTAAAGGAAAAATACTTGGTCGATTCAAAAAATGAAAGATTATTCAACTATATATTTGAAACAATTAAAAATCATTATAATGAAGATGTTCAGGATATTCCAGTTATCGATAGTCAAGAGTTAATTGAAAAATCCATTAAAATAATTGCAAAAATGTTATTCCCGCTAGAAAGTGACAATCCATTTGAAAATTTGCCCCAGTCGTTGTTTGAAGATAATATACTCAAAGAATATTATGATCGTCCAACTTCTTTTGTTAGAAATGATTCAGTTGGGGAAATAATAAAAAGCTCCATTAAGCCAATTTTAAAAGAGAAAATATTAATTAAAATATTAGAGTTGGGAGGAGGTACATGTTCATTATCAAAAATAGTATTAAATAAAATAAATACACTGCTCCTGGATAATCAAGGCTATGAAATCAATATCGAATATACATGGACCGATATTTCACCATCATTTATTTTTGAAGCTAAAAATCAATTGTCACAGTTCAAAGGTGTTAGTATTGTTTATAACATTATAGATTTAGAGGTTCCATTAATAAAGCAAGGTTTAAAACCATCATATTTCGATTTTATAATAATGGCAAATGTAGTACATGTCGTTAAAAACATAAGTTATGCTATAGAACAAATATATCAAGTATTATCACCAAATGGGCAGCTTTTGTTAATTGAGCCACCTAATAGATCTATCATTGCTGACACTATATTCTCTTGTTTTGAACAATGGTATTCATTTGAAGATATGGATATTAGAAAAGACAGATGCTATATAGATAATGATACTTGGGTGAAGTTATTAAATCAACATAATTTCAAATCGGACATATTAATAACAAACCCAACTGAATACTATTGCACTGCCATTCAAGCTCAAAAAATAAGTTTAAATAATATTTTACCAAAAATAGATAGTAGTGAAAATGTAATCATTTTTTCAAATTCTGGAAATTTCTTTATAAATACTATAAAATCATTATATAAATTGAATAATATCAAAATTATATCAAATATGGACCAGTTTAAAAATTTTATCAATTTATCCATAATTAATAACAACACCACAATTTATTTTATAAAAACAGTAGATGAAATTAATATCAATAATTTTAAAGAAATAACATTGGAATATATTGAAATTAATCAACATTTATTAAAATTCAAATTAAATACAAAACATATTTTAGTTACACTAGATTCAGACTCATTAAACTACTTATCATCATCAGTAGTGGGTGCGGCAAGATATTTTGATGAATATTTAGAGTTAAAGCTATTTACATTAAATTTTGATAAACAATCAATTATTAATCAAGATATCTTTTCAATTATACCAACAATAATCAATTGTGATTTTTCAATACACAGAGAATTTTTTATTAAAAATAATAATGTTTTTTATGAACGTTTTAAAAAAGAAACTAATCTAAATCAAAATTTTAAATCAAATTCCTACATCGTACAAAAAAAAGAAAATATAGAGTTGTTCAAATTAACTCTATCACCAAATCTAGAGTACCAACTAAAACAAAGAGAAGTCATATTAGAACCAAATCAAGTTGAAATCAAAATAATGGCATTTGGAGTAAATTATAAAGATTATTTAATATACTCAGGAAATGTACCAAAAATAGAAAATAGAATAAATGGTGATATTAATGATCCAGAATTTTGCTATGACTTTTCAGGTGTTATTACAAGAATTGGTTCAGGTTCAAATCTAGATCTATATCCTTATACTATTGGTGACCAAGTCTATGGATTGGGAAAAAACTCATCAGCATCGCATATGATTGTTGACATGGATGCAATTTATTTCAAACCAAAAAATCTATCTCATTGCGAATCATCAGCTCTACCAACAATTTATTTGACATCCTATTACAGTATTTATATAGTGGGTAATTTAAAACATAACGAAACTGTTTTAATTCACTCTGCCTCAGGAGGTGTAGGTTTGGCTGCATTAAATATACTCAAAATGAATCACAAAGGATTGGTTTTTGTTACAGTGGGTTCCAAAGAAAAAGAAGATTATTTAATTAAAACATATGGCAACTTTATTTCTGGTATCTTCTCATCTAGAGATAAGAATTATTGCCAACAAATAAAAAATACATTAAAAGAAATGGGTTCAGATAGAAGCGGTGTTGATCTAATATTAAATACCCTTTCAAGTAACTATATGGATTCCAATTTTAAATCTCTTACAACTGGTGGTAGAATTGTCGATCTTTCAATAACACACCTAAATACAAATGAATTCACAAATAATATAAATTTCAAGTATAATTTTGGATACTTCAATATCGAATTACAATATATCAATAATGAAATAAAAAGAAAATTATTAAAAAAGATCACAAAAGCAATAGAATCAAATAAACTGAACAATATATTACCCATAACAGAATTCTCAAATAAAGAAACTAAAGATGCAATAGAATATATAAATCAACGTAAACATATTGGTAAAATCATTGTCAATAACAAATATGATATAATGGAATCATTAATAGAAAAACAAAAGGAAGAAAAATTGTTAAAGTTAAATTATGAAATCAATGGTTTAGGTGAAACTATTCTAATTACAGGCCAATCTGGTATTATATTGGATATATTAAAATGGATATTAAAGTATTCAAAAACAGTCAAAAATGTAATTATTTTAACAAAATCAAAATTGAAATGGGGATTAGAATTCGTAATAAATAGTTATAAAGAAAATATAAATTTTTATTTCAAGTCTTTAGATATCAGCAATTTAGAAGCTTTAGAAAATTCAATTAGTGAAGTTTTATTATCAAGTAATATTAAAAATATAGACTCTATATTTCATTTTGCTTTTGAGCATGTTTTGGGTGGGGTTCAAGATATTAGCTTAAATCATTTAAATATATCCCACAATGGAAAAACATTAGGTGCAGTTAATCTACATAATTTATCAATAAAACTCAAATGGAAATTAACCAATTTTATTATGGCCTCTTCTGTAGTGTCTTGTATTGGGTCAACAGATCAATGCACCTATGTTTGTGCAAATCGTGTTTTAGACTCTTTATCAAAATATAGAAAATCTATTGGGTTACCTTCTATTTGCACAAACTGGGGAATGTTACAATCATCAGGTTTTACGGCAAGAAATCAGTCGGTCATTGAATTATTGGATGGTCAAGGATTGAATCCGGTAACAATCAATACTGTTATTGGATCTTTAGATTTAATGATTCAAAATCAAGATCAATCAACTAATTTAATTGTTTCCGATTTCAATTTTAATCTTTTGTTTAATTTCCAAGGTTCAAATTTCAATAAATTCGACTATCAATTAAATTTAGTAAGAAGTTTAAAACAAACTAACAATTCCCAAAAAGAAACTATTGATTCAATTTTTTTAAATAAACTAGCCGAACTATTATCTATTGATCAAAATAAAATTAATATAGAAGTAAAATTAAACTCATTAGGTAAGATATTTAAATTAAAATTTGTATATCGCTTTTATGAACCATTACTAAATTTTTTTATTTTTTTTATTTAGGTGTTGATAGTCTTTTGATGGTCCAATTAAAAAACTTCATCGATAAAGAGATCTCTACAAATATAATTACAATCCAACAGTTACAGAATAACACAATTCAATCATCTATAGAAACCATTAAAAGTGAAATGGAAAAAAGGGGAAATGAAAAACCAGATTATAATAGCAACGGAACCACTATACTCACAAAAGCAGAAAAAAAATTAGAATATTGGGAAAATGAAATTAAACTTGATGACTCAATAATAAAATTATCAATTGAAAACAAATCCATTCCTAAACAAATCATTAACAACAAAAATAACAATATATTCCTTACTGGAGCTACTGGATTTTTAGGTAAGTTTAATTTAAATTATAGAAAAAAATTGGTTTATAAGTACTAATTAAATCTAAAATTTAGGTGTTTATTTATTATATGAATTGCTTATGTTACCAAATTGTACAAAGGTTTATTGTTTAATAAGAAATAAAAGTAAAGATAATAACCCTATAAATGAAATTTATAATAATATGAAAAAACATTTATTATATGACAATCTAAATACACAGCAGCTTTCAAAAATCAATGTTATTGTTGGAGATTTATCAAAAAATCAATTTGGTTTAAATAATAAAGAATTTAAATTATTATCAAATGATATCAATTTAATTATTAATTCAGGTGCAGATATCAATTTATCAATAGATTATGAATCTATAAAACCAGTAAATGTCAATGGTGTAAAAGAAATTATCAAACTATCACTTTCTTCTTCCAAAATTATTGTTCCAATTGTCAACTTTTCTACATATTCAGTATTTATGAAGCAAGAACTAAAAGGTGATTTTAAAGACAATTTCGATGAACAGCAATTTGGTTTGGTTCCATTAGAAAATTTAAATATTTTACCTGGTGGTTATATGCAAAGTAAAGTAATTGGGGAATATATTTTATGTTGTGCAGCAAAATTGAAATCAATACCATATATTATAATTAGGTCTCCTTCAATATTTAGTAACCCAACAACTGGAATAGGTCATGGCGATGATTTTGGTCAACTATTGATTCAAGTATGCTCCATAATAGGCCACTATCCCGATTTGTCGATTGGTCATTTAGCTTCCCCAATAACATGGTGCGTGGAGAATTTTTTAAAGGTTATTTTTAATGAAAACTCTTGGTCAACTAATAATAACTCTCCAATATCAAAACTAAATGTGTATAATATCAACAGTGAAGTTTTAAATACAGAGACATTGGTTAAAAACATTGGTGAAAGAATAGACTATAGTCATTGGAAAAATTTAATTAACCAATCGGAACATAAAACTTGCATAAAACTTAGAACTTTTCATTCTTTAAATTATAGTCGTTTCAACATACCCAACTGTTATGGTATTTCAAAACGAACTAAGCAACTATTAATTTCTCTGGGATCATATGGTAATGGTGGTATTATTAACAATGAGATGATAAATAATCATTTAAATTATTATAATAAAAAATAAACAATAAATAATTTACTTTTAAAAAAAAAATCTATTTAGTAAAAATATTTAATTTTATATAACAACCATTAAATCTTTATTAAATGTAACGATAAATGGGTTACTAATAGCAGTGGTTCAATCTCTAAACAGATTTTGTTGGTAATTCAAATTTAGGAGCTATTAAAAAACAATGAACCATATGCTGATTCGACCATTGATCAATCATCATTAAAAACTTTTTATCTATATGATTTATAAACAGTTTAGGTCATATTTTTGCAAAATTTTTCGAAAAAGTTGCAGCTAAATGTTATCAAACACAAAGCTACTCAAATGGGTATTGGTTATGGTCATTCGAATCTGGAAATTTAGTTATTTCATTCAAACCAATTACAAATTCAAATGATGTTCAAAATTTCGATTTTATAAAATTATTATAATAAAAATATATTTAATAAAGCTATTGATAATAAAAACCCAAAAATCAAAAGTTTTTTTTATTTTTTTACTATAATAGGTTATTTTGATTTAATTTATTATTCATGGCTTGGAAAAACTTTAAGTTTTTATGTTTTTTTCTATAGTGATAAATTATAGAAACTATTATTACAACTATAAAGGCAACACAACCAATTACAATACCAGCAATTTTTGATGCCGATAAACCAGAATTTTTTGAACAGATTGAGTTTGATTTAGATGAAGCTGAGCTACCATCTAAAAGTACTGAGAAATCTGGATCTATTATTGACATTTCTTTGAAATATGGAATATTTATGCCAACAAAAGATTGAGACTGATAGGAGCTTGATAATGTTGAGAGTGATTCATCTAAAAATTCATTTGAAATAGATTTAACTTTATTATCTAGGAAAGCTCTTTTTATGAATCTTCCATAAACTGAATGGTCTTCGACTTGAACCTTTATATAATTTGAGTTATCAATTCCATTTGAAGTTTCCCCAAACTCTTTATTTGAACAAATGTTATTTGTTTTAGATGATTCTATTTTGGCTAACATTATTAATTGAAGTGAATTTAAATTTGTACTAAATGGATATGATGAAATCTCGATTGTATATTTAATAGTTGATGGATTCATAATTAAAGTTTGGTTTGCAAATTCTATTGTAGTTTCTTTATCAAACCATTGAATTTTTGTTTTAATACTAACAGTTTTATTTGATATTTCTATGCCGCAATAGTATTCGCTTACTGATGAATTTATTTGTTTAAATTTCCAATCTTTTAATGGATGATATTTGAATTGCTTATGATCATAGTCTAACTCTCTTAATGCAACAATTGAAACCAATGATTTATATGTAACTTCTGTTTCACTATTTCCTCCATTTTCGGTAGTTGGTAATTCAATATCTGGAGTTGTTTTATTTAGTGATGGTGGTAATGTTTCAATACTCTTGCTTGAGCAATCTAAACCTACATATGGATAATAACACATACAACCATTTGATGTACATGTACCCTTCTTATCACCACCACATTTTGGAGTACCTTTACATTCTTGAGGAGCATTAGTTATAATTGGATCTTCACTATTTGATGAAGTAGATGATGGGTTTGATGTCTCTTGAGTAATATCAATATAGTTTGGAATTGGGAAATAAAATGGTGAAACTAAATATTGATTTGATTTTCTTCCATTCTTTGTTACCAAAGTTACATAAAATGGTTTATAAGTTTTTTTTGATAATGTTAATGAAATTGCACTTGGGTAAAGATTATCCATAAATATTGTTTGTAATTCTGCATTATCTAAATGATAAAAAACCTCTATATATTTGACATCATTAAAACCCTTGCCATATAGCCATAGTTTTGTATCTTTGGTTGATAGTTTTTTATTTCCCGAAATGATTGGTTGATTGGTATCAAAACTATCTACAGTTGAAATGAAATAAGAAAAACCACTGTTTTTTAATTGATCTACTGCAAAACCGCTGTATAAACCGAACCTATTAATCAAGCCATATACTGATATATATATTCCATGTGGATAACCAAAACCTACAGGTATTTCAACGGAACAATTATAGATGGAATTAGTTTTGTTTGAACTAATTTGTTGGGTATGACAAGAAACAAGACCCAATGAAGTATCGGAGAAATAAACTATTGGTGTTTGATCATTTTTTAATTCACTATCTATATCTCTAGCCTCTAATACTATATTAACTGTTCTATCAAGACTACCAACATCTATACTTGATCTTGAAGCTACAAATGATAATAGTTCTGGTGGAGATGAATCAAAATTTTGGGATGGACAATTTAAAGAAACACTATTTATCAAAGAGTCATTTAAATAATTAATAAAAGGATTAAGAATTGAGTATAACCCATTTTGTGATTTAAAAGTAATGGAAAATGAAGAATTAAAACCCATAGAATCCTGTAATAAAACCTCGGTCATTATAAAGTTTTGTGATACACATGGACTTGAAACATTAACATAAATTTCATATTCTCCTCTATAAACTGAACCAGCAAGAGCATTTTTTGGACTAAATGTAAAGTTGTAGATTGAATTGTCTATTGAACCCCTTACAACAATGTTACCAAATTGGAACCCGTTTACTTCATCCTCAATTTCTACTTTCCATCCAACCTTTTTAACATTTATATCGGCATCTATATTTGTTAATTTAGTAATTTTTTTGAAAACTGGGCCATATAGATCCATATCTAAAAAATTGGTACAAAAATGTTAATTTAAAACCATTATGATATTTTAAAATTAAAAAATAAGGTATATTTACTTGAAGATTTTACTCTAAGTTGACACGAAGCCGGTAGTGCATAATTTGGGAGGGTATAGACTCTATTTACAATTAAATTATATGGATAGTTATTTGATGGCTGAGAGTTTGCTGGTATGATGAAATCAATTTGGAATAATTCGATGGTACTATTCCAAAAAGCATAAAAAGGAATTTCATTACCTGCCAATGAGTAAATAACCCTGGGTGTTTTGATATCATCGCCATTTAAATATAATATAAATGGGGTGTCTCTTGGAACATTAGAAGAATAATTGAAATACATTGAGTTATATACTGTTTTATTTGTAACATCTATATTGTTATATAAAAATGAAACATCTCTAATATCGAATACATCGACTATAATTTAAAAAATTAATAAAATTATAAATAAAAAAAATTAGGGGAAATTTTCCCACATTTACATTGAATGTAAAAATAAAATACAAACAATTATTTTGTTCATCATAAAATCTATCTGTTGAATAAAAAGTAACAGGCGAAATTGAAATAATACTATCCAAATTATAAACAGCCACCATATTTGAATGATCGAATATTCTATATAAACCTTGGGATTCTAAAGGACTGGTAATGAATTCATAAATGCCATTATAAATTGTTCCAGAAACTAAAAATTGATTTAAATTTTTAACACCATAAGAAGACTCTATATTTAATCTTGCAATAAAGTCATTTCCTTCAAGATGAATTAATTCATAACTTTTTAAAATTGGTGGGTTACCAGTACTAGCTAAAAATAAAAGTATTAGTAAAAAATTTAAAATTTAAAAAAAAATAAACATGAATTATGATAATCACTTTTTTTTGAAAGTTCATAGGTGGAGGTTGTTGAATAAAATATTACTTGAAGGTTTTGATTTGTAGAATTATTATACTCTGCTATTGGAATAGAAACCCTATAACTATAGTTTATGTTATTACCAGAGATAAATCCTTTATTTTAAATTAGTTATAATTTTTTAGTAAATAAAATTTTTAATTTAAAACTTACCATATGGGGCACTATTATAAGAATTATATAAACCTAAAAGAAAACTTCTCATAAAAGTTAAATCGTAGCTTTTACCTTCAAACTGAACTGTTGCTAAATAGTCTGTGCCATTAAGTGTATCAACATTTTGATATGAAAATACAGTAGGAATTGAAGCTGACGGCCAACTTTTGATGAGGGTATAATCTACTTGGTATCTTTGTTTAAATAGGTAATCCTGTAAACTGTAAAGTGTAAATGTTTGAATTTTATTAATAACTGTAGAGGTGTCTAAGAAACCAATATATGTTGTTGTGGTATCAGTTGATTTAATTGGAATTGAACCAAGATTTTGACTATATACATTAAGAAGACTATATATAGCAGTTCTTTGATCTGGCGAAGTTGTGTTACTTGTGAATGTATAAAGAATTCTACTATTTTGACTGTTGTATTCAACGTTGTTACTATATTGAGCTGGCGGGAATACTGAAAAATCTAAAATATCTTCATATATATTGCCTAATAATAAATTATTATTAATATTTTTTAATTTTTTTTTTTTTTTTTTTAATTTTAAGCTTTACCAAATGGGAAATCTATTAATCTAATAGTATTTGTGTTATCATAAATTGTAATATCTAAGTTTAAATCTTTCGAATAGTCATCTGATGTTTGTCCTCCACCAAAAACCAAACTAAAATAATTTGTATTTTTAATTTGAACAGAAGAGCATTTGTATGGTAGCGCGCAACCTAATAAAAGTGCATTTGATTTATCGAGACGAACATTAGAATCCAATCCACTAATCTTAACATATGCTTCTTTATTTCCTTGGGTGCTTGGGAAAGCTTTACTCACCAACTCTACATTAATTGTGGAAATATCTAATTCTGTTATAAAAAAAAATTAAAAAAGTGTTAAAATTGATTTTTTTTTTTTAAAATTAAGTTAACTTTTATTTACCATAACAACCAAAAGTTATTGATATTGATTCTGAATTAAAACGGAATAAGTTGGAATAAGGAGTTTGTGAAGGTTTTACTTGGGTAAATTCTATTCTATTTAATTGTGATGTGTCATTTTTTAATGGAAAATTTAAATTGATCATATAGGAACCTGAAGGTGGTTGTAATTCCCCTAAAGGACTTAAAATATAAAATGTAAAAGAACAAAACCCATTTGTTCTATTTACATATTTATTATAAGGTGTGTTTATTGGTGAAACATCTTGTAAAATAATTTGAGAAAAAGATAAATTCAAAAAAATAAAAAAAATACACAAATAATGTAAAAATGTGTGCATTTTTAAAAACAAAAGGGCAAAAAAAATAAAAATATAAAAAAAACAAAAAAAACATTTTTTTATTCGCATTCTTTATGCAGTTTAAATTTGGGTGTGAAAATTTAAAAAAAAGTTTCCGAAATCGGTTCGGTAAAAAAAAAAAAATTTTTTTTTGTCGAAAAACCTTGATTTCATCAAACCCAAAAAAATAATTTTTGTGCAATAGAATTTTTTCCACCTTTTTTTTTAATTTAATTTTTTTTTTTTTTTTTTTTTTTTTTTTTTTGGAAAAAAAATAGATTTTTTTGGTTACCAATATATTTTTTTAATTATATTTTAAAAATAAAAATATAGCTTTAATTTATTATAAAAAGTTTTTAAATAAATGATTAGGCTCGAAAACTTTTTTAAATTAATTTTTATATTTTTATTATTCATATATTGCAACAATGGGTATATAGTTAAAACTCTTCCAAGTAATATTCTTCAAGCATATGTTACACAATATAGAAATTGTGTTTTCTATCTAGATGTAATTTGTATTGCAGAGAACATCTCAGAGGATTGCAACGATTTAAAAGCAACCTATGTTAATTCTGGCATATCAGTCACAGAATCAATAATATTTTCAAATAAGACATCATCAGTAATCAAAAGATTTACATTAATATCCCCGCTTGGTCAAAATTCAGTTTCATTTGGTTCACAAGTTAGTTTAGAAATTTCTTGTATAGGTTTGTACAAAATATTTTGCATACAATTGAACTAAGATTAATTTTTAATTTTTTTAATACCTATAGATATTGATTTAAATAAAATTAGTTTAAAGTCTCTTTCAAAAGATTATTTTTTATACTCTATACCTGATGGAGATGCTTCTTATTCAATTATATCACTCTATCAATTGGTTGGTGTTGAACCAAAAACCTCATTGGAATCAATTTATTTTCAAGCTATGGGAACAGGTAAATGTTTATTTTCTAGATCAACTCAAGTTACTACAATACCTATATTTCTTTATTCTTGTCCAAAAGTGGTACCAATATCTTTCGATTTTTCATCAATAAAAGTAAATTTAACAGTAGGAACAAACACCAAAGTATTTAGTTTAGATCCAATGTTTAAAGGTATTTATAGATAGTAATATGTAGCCCCAATTTAAAAGTAAAGCTAATATTAGTTTTTTATTTAAATTATAGATTCTTTAGAATTATATGATATCAAGACATACCCAGAATTAAAATATTTAGATAATATGAATTTATTTGGAAATGAAGAAAGTGCATTGGTTTCGTTTAAAATGAATACAGTTTTAGAAAAGGGTTATTTTATGATGACTAAAAATGGTGTCCTCGAAGAGACAAAAACAATATTCCCAATTTTTGGTGATGAATCAAGTACTACATATATAACCCCTTTATCAAATTATGGCCCAGTTACCACTGAAATCTATTATCCAAGCAATTCAAAAGTTATAAAATCAACTACTCAAATTAAATCAAATATAAATCGGTGTAAGTAAATTCTCCATTTTTATTTTTTTTTCATTTTTTAACTTTTTTTTTTTTAAATTTTTTTTTTACAAATTATAGTTAATAAAATTTCTATCCCATCGGTACAGAGTTATTCTTTGTATAGTGATGGTTTACCAATTTTAATCTATGGTTTTACAGATAATAAAAGATATGATTTCGATACTATATCCCTATCAGTTAGCAATGTTTATCCAAGATTAACCCGTTTTCCATTTGGATATATATATGGTGATAAAAATGGTTACAAATATGAAGTCGATACAGTTGTAAAGCCATATTATTCATCCCCACTTTTTTTATATATGACATCTGGAAAATATTCCAATACCTCAAGTTTTCACTTTCCTGTGTTTAGTAAGTTTTATATATAGTATAAAATAATTAAAATTATATTAATAATAATTAATTGTATTTATTTAGATACTACCTATATATCTTCTAAAGCAAAACTTATTGGATTTGAAAAATTCCAATTGATATCTGATATCTATTTAGTTAGGGTTCAAATCGACTCGCCTAATCTATTCAACTATATAATGTTTGATAATCTTTATTCATTAGGATATGAATCATTGGTTTCTGGAAATTTAAGTATAGGTACTTATGAGTTTATATATAAACATAGCGATCAAATGGTTTATTTTTATGACCAAACTTTTTCTGTTTTTGCATTAAACAGAGATCAAATTGTCACAATTAATAATCAAGAACCAGTATACTTTAATGGTCCTCCTCGAGTAATATGTAAGTTTTCAGTCTAAATATCTTTAATTTAATTGTTACAAAGAAAATTTACTAACTTTATAAATATTTAATTAATTATAGTTGATATGACATTAATAAAAGATGTATCATTTTTATATAATGATTTAGATATTACATATCATAGACATTATAATGTATTTTACTTTAATTATAGTGACAGTGTACCAAGAGAAACTATATTTAGAATGGTTCCAAAGGATTTAAATATGATTCAAGATTCTTTATCGATGATCTATAGTCCAAAATCTTTTGTATCAACATGGAATAACACACTTAATCTATTCCAAATTGAATTTTTCATTGAAGCAAATACAGAAATAGGTACCCGTCACTTCTTTTTGGTTTCAAATGATCTATTTATCCATAGCAAATTCTTTAATACACAACTAAGAGTCAAAAGCTCAAGTAAGTAATAAGAATGGTTTTAAAAAATATTAAAGAAAATATTTTAACATAGTATTTTTTATTTAATTTTTCTTTTCAGGTATGGATTACCAAGGACCAATATTTATAGATATCAAAAAAATTACAAATAAATTAGTTACTAAAGATAATATAGGTACTATTGGATGGACTTTTAAAATTGAAGATTCAATTAATGGTTTTGACAATGGCTTTGTAGTAATTAAAGGTGAAATGGATTATTCAAACTATAACATAACATTTAGCTCTACCGACGTAAAAGCAGGAGGCGACAAGTATTCTGGCGAATATGATATTACCATTGATGTATCATATCCATGTATATCACAAAATTATATTATTAATGATGTTGTTCTATTCGACACCCTCAATAGAAAATCCCTATTCTCAATATTTCCAGAATCCCTAAAAGATTCAGTTTTAAATCCATTTTTAAATTTTTTACAAGATACTAACATAAATAAAGTTCAAATACAATGCGAATCTCCAAATGCTGTTTCGTCCGATACCACACCACCTCAATTAACACAATTTTACAACTCAATAGAATTGACAAGCAATGGGATTATTGACTCTTCAAGAATAAATTCAGTTTCTTTTACTTTTACTGCAATTGATAATGAAAGCGGTATAAAGGATAAACAATACCCAATAGTCTATGCCTCTGACTCAAATAATAGATTTGTTAAATGTGTATCAACTTTTGTAACCTATCAAGGAACTAATGCCACCTATAGTTGTTCAACTATGTTCCCAATAGGATTCGGCTATCCTGGAATAATTACCCTTTCAGTTTATGGCTTTATCAATAACAATGGTCTATTTAGTGGATTTTCTGCAAATGGTTTAAAGAATAATAATTTTAAATATTATATTTCGACAAAATTTGTTGAACTTATTCCATATTTAACAGGTAGCTCCAAGATAACTGAAAAGGGAGGCGAGCTATGGGTTTATGGATCCAATTTATCTTTAGGAACATGGTATATCAAATACGATACTGATAGAGTTTTTATGATTGCCGATATAGGGAAAGTATATTCAACAGCAGTCCAATTTAAAAATATCAAAGCGACAACAAAACCTTTTTCAGTATATTCATCAAACGTTAAATATAGCACCCAAGTTCTTATGGTTACACCAGAGATATATGATTGGAATTTATTAAATTGTAATGGTAATGGAGCTCCAGGTAAATCCTCTGGCAAATGTATTTGCAATAATAAATGGACAACTTTAGATCCTTTATCACAATGCACGGTTAACAATCATTATATTACATCATCAACACAGGTATCCTCAACAGAAGGTGGTGAAGTTATTCTTAGTGGTTGGTTCAGCAATGTAAATGTAAATCCAAAACTTTATATAAATAATAATGAGGCAAATATTTTATCCATAACTACAGAATCAATCAAAACTACTATTGGACCAGGAACTTTTGGTGCAATCCCCGTTAGCTACTATCAAAACGGCGTGGTTTGGAGCGGCAACCTCTTTCTATATAAACAAGATGAAAAACAATGTCCATTAAATTGTGAAATCAATGGGGTTTGTGATAAAAAAACAGGTATTTGTTCATGTAATAAAGGATATACTGGCCTTGATTGTGCATCACCAGAACAAAACAATAACAATAACACAACAACAGAAACCGAAGTGGGTAACAATGGTACAACCATTATAAAAAACCAAGATATAGGGTATTTAATTTCAATAGATTCAATTGTAGAACTAGATTTCAAAAATGAAGCAGTATTATCATTTAATTTAACAAATAACTGGGTATTTGTCAACAAAACAAACTCAGTTTCTTTCTTTAATCAAACTATCCACAACTCCAGAGGTACTACAACACTAACTCTGATTATAGAGGAGGTTAATGAAAAAGATAAAGATTTTTCATTTGCTGGTAATGATTTCACAGTAACAAAAGGTGGCCTTAAACTATCACTTTCAATATCAAACTGGCAATATCTTAGCAATTTAAACACATTACAAATTCAAATGTCCTCGGATATTCAAATTAACCAAAATAGTGAATGTAATGAAGATAATAAAGATGCCATGGTGGAGTCATCTTCTAATAACCATTACTTGACAAATAATATCAATTATTTAAAAATTACAAAGAATAATAGAGTTTTATATTCAAGATTCCAAGATAAAATGCTATCAGATAATAGACCAACAACCATCACCTCTCAGCTACTATCAAGTAACAATAGTTTTGTTCAAATTGGACTAAATTTACCACATTGTGATGAATGTTTAATAGACCCTGGTATGTATTTTTTAAAATGTAATTTATGATAATTTATTTTTTATTAACAATACTAATATTTTTTTAAAATTGTTTTATATAGATTTTTCATTATTAATAAATTCAAACTATAAATTTGAATGTAAAGACCCATCTAAAAAATGGATTATTGCAGTTGCAGTGGTAGCAGGTGTTGTAGGTCTCTCTATTCTTTTTATTTTAGGTTTTATTTTATTTAAAAAGAGTACATTCTTAAAAATTAAAATTTACTCAATCAAAAAAATTATTAAAAATAAAAATTAAAGCATAATTAATAAAATATAACAATATAATAAAAAAAAAAAAAAAAAAAAGTATACTCTGGTTTCTTTATTTTTTTTTTATTTTTTTTTTATTTTTTTTTTAATTTGAATTTAACTTTTTGTAAAATGTTAATAATTTCTAGAAAAAAACAATGGGTAAAATATTCAAGGTAACAAATATAAGTTCCCTACTCTCCCATTAATTTTTATACACACACCACTCCGTTTTCCCAATCTTTTTTCTATTATTTGTTTTCTATCTTTTTTTTTTTATTTTTTTTTATTTTCCCACACAAAAATACCAATGAATATTGTTAAACAAAAATAAATATATCATTTTTTTATTATTTTATTTTAATTAATTTAATAATATTTTATTTGTTTTGTTTTATTTGTTTTAATTTAATTTTAATAATAAATAAGGGAATAAATATTAATTTTATTTTGTTTCATTTCACTTTTCATAAAATTAAAAAAAAACAATATGAAATTACTATTATTAATTTTCTTACTTTTAAATCTTTTGATTGTATCTCAAACAGCAGAGGCAGAAGTAAATTATGGCATTAATGAAAATGGTATAAACTATTTTAAAACTTGCAATTCAAATATCTTTTATTAACTTTTTTTTTTTAACTTAGAATTATACAAACACAGAGATCCATTAGCCTATTATTGTAAGGATGATTCATGCCCACATAAGTATTGCTGCGTTCAACTTAGAAAATCATATACATGTGTTTTGGAAGAAAAAGAACCAATTTGCCACTATGGACCCTTATTAAAAAACTTTTATTAAAAAAATTATAAATAAAATTTTTATTATTTTTAGAAATCTAAAAATTTATACGTAAATAAAAGCTATTTATATATAATTTTATAGAAATTATATTTATTAATAACCATATCAAATTAAACAAAACTTTAACACTGACCACAACTTACCCCTAAAAAATAAATAACCACTTTTTTTATTTTACAAAAAATTTTATTTATCATATTTATTTTTATTTATTTATATAAATTAATATTAATGTAATAAATTTAAAAGGTTACAATCATTTTATTGGTCATTATTAATTTTATATAATTTTTTATAAATATAGGTAAAAGTCATTATTTATTATTTATTACCATATTTATTAAATAGTTAATGATGAGCGTGGATTTCTGAAAAACTAAATTCCCTTTTAGGTATAATTTATTTATATTTTAGATTGTTAAGTAATAAAACAGTTTTATTATTTTAACCGTTGTCATTTTAAAAGATTTTTAATTGAGTGTTATATTCAAACAGATAAAAAAACAAATATTTATAAAAAAATATAAATAAAATTTTTTTTTTTTTAATATAATTTATTTTTGGTAATAATTATAATCTTGATATCATTATAGATTTTTCTCATAAATTATTTAATTTTTATATTTTAAATGTTGTATTCATTTATTAATTTATTAAAATTTAATAGTACTATTATTTTGTTTATTTTTATTTTATAGACAATTTTTTTTTATATTTTTTATTTTTATATTTTAGAAACAATAATTAAAATATTAAAATAATAAATATTTTTATATAGTTTTTTAAAAAATGATTTCAAGAAACTATGAGCTAAGTGAACCATTTAATTATAAGAATGATATAGAGTTTTCAAAAAACGATTTTTTATCATTCTGGAATCAAGTAGGAAAAAAAATTCATTGGTAATGATACATAGATTTTTTTTTTTTTTTTATTAATTTTTTATTAATTTTTTATTTATTTTTTTTTTTTTTGTAATTTTAAAAATTAAAATTCGCTTCATCATTCACAACCACACAAATATTTTTACAATCATGTATATATATAAAGGGATAAACAATATACACAATTATGGAGTGGCAACGAAAGAAGACCAGAATGGTTTAAGGATGGTTATGTAAATGTATGTAATAATGTTTTGGATGTTCATTTAAAAGAAAGAGGTGATCAAGTTGCAATCTATAGCGAGTGTCCATCAATGAACTCATTTTCCCAGATTACTTATAAAGAACTATGGCAACGTGTATGTGTATTCTCAAGAGTTTTAAAAAACTTGGGTATTGGCAAAGGTGATAAAATTATTATATTAATGCCAAGTTATATAGAAACCCATATTGCCATGCTCTCCTGTACTCGTATTGGTGCAATTTATAGTAACACAGCTACACTATTGGAGCCAAACCAATTATCATCAAAAATAAACTATTTCCAACCCAAACTAATAATTACTGCAAATTTTTGTGTTAAAGGAAAAGGATGTAAATATATTATTTCCACACTTAAAGAAGCATTAGATGCATCAACACACAAGGTAAACCATACAATTATTCATAACCGTATTGGATTTATCAGTAAAGAGAAGCAAGAAGAATTTTTCAGTAAAGAAGAGAATAAAGCATTTCGAAATATTCAGATAGAAGGTGAATTAGATTGGAATGAAATTGTACAAGGTGTAGAGCCATTAACAGAATATGAAATATTAGAATCATCCCATACTGTATCTGTGACATTTTCAAGTGGTACTACTGGCGAGCCAAAAGGCTTCAATAATGAAACCGGTTGCTATTTAGCCAATCTGTGCTATTCATTCAAGTGTAACTATAACTTTAAAGCTGGTGAAACATATTTTACAACAACAAATATTGGTTGGAGTTTTGGCCTAAACTTAATATATGGCTCACTTTTTCACGGTTCAACTTTAGTAGTATATGAGGGTGACCAAACAACACCCACTTATGAATACTTTAGAATCATCGAAAAGTATAAAGTTAAAATTATGGTTTCGACAACATTTGTATTTAGAGTGGTCCATAGTATAGATCCAAATGCCGATACTATCAAAAAGTATGACATATCTAGTTTAAAATCAATTATCTTGGGTGGTGAAAACATCAGTCCTTTAATGACAGATTTTATTGCAAAAAAAATAGGTGCCCCAATCAATGATAGCTATGGTCAAACTGAAACTGGTGTTATATTAACATATCCATCTCATCAAGTACCTTTTCTTCCAAAATCATCAGGTGTCCCGGTCGCAGGTCTTAATGTTGGCTTAAAGTCCCCAATAACAAAAGAAATCATTGCAAAACCATATCAGCTCGGTGAACTTGTAATTAAATTACCACTTTCACCACTACACATACAATCAATTCTTTATGACGATCAATATCAAACAAAACTCAATAACAAATACCTTGACGAGTACCCAGATTATTATAGAAGTGGCGATATAGGATATTTTGATGAAAATGGATATTATTTTATAGTGTCTAGGACAGAAGACACAATCAATATAGGAAATAACAAATTAGCATACAACACATTTTTTGAAGATTTTATCCAAGGTAGTGAAATGATTTATGATAATGTCGTAGTACCTGTATCATCACTAAACCCTAATGACCCCTCGGAACAAGCACCAGCAGCATTTGTAATATTAAAAGATCAATTTAAACAGATTCATTACCAACAGCCAAAACAATTTACAGATCAATTATTAGAAAAAATTAATAAATCTTTAATATTCAATGCAATGATTGAAAAAGTATTCATCAAACATTTAATTATAGTAAATGAACTACCAAGATCAATTAGTAATAAAAAAATTAGAAATGTTTTAACAAAAATATATAATGGTAAGTAATTTATTAATATGCATACAAATAAAAACTACCCACACTAATAACACTATTTTTAACATTATTTAGGTGAAAAATATAATATACCAACCAATATTTTAAATCCACATGCTTTATTGGATATAGAAGATCATGTTAAATTTTATAAAGCATTAATTTAAATTCATATTTTAAAATAAATAAATAAAAATAAAAACAATAGTAAAAATAAAAATAATTAATTTTTAATAATACATTATAAACTAAATAAATAAATACTTATTTATTATAAAAATTCTTTATTAACTGTATGATAAATAGTATTCCACTATGGAATCAGGTCATCATCCAAATATCGATGTCGATGGTCTTCAACTCTTTTTCAAGGGTGAGATATGTACTACTTTTTAATGTAATATATTATAATTCTTTTTTTTTTATTTATAATTTATCTGCTTTTAAAATTTGGCATTCTTTTCCTTTTTTTAACCCAAGCTCTAAACTGATACCTTGAGACTGGATATTGGTAACGTCAATGAATGAAAAAACGGTGATGTCCCTCTTCAAACCTTCAATAATGACTTTAGATTTAACTTTTCTTGCGTAACCTTTATTTCTATAATCTGGTAGTGTGTAAAAATGAGCAGTTTTACCATCTGATTTGATAATGTTCCAACATACCAATTTCCTATTAACTTGACCATCTCCATTTTCATCTATATAGTTCTCTTTCATTCTATAACAGATTGCTAATTTATTATCCACTGCCCATTTAAACTCATTTTTTGAATGTTCTCCTTTGAATCCCCATTTCTCCATTACAAAATCAATTTCATCATTGTTTAAATAATCTTCATTCCCATCTAAATTCTTTTCTAATTCTTTAATTTTTTCTTCTTTTATTTTATTATCATTGATTTTTATAAAAAATTCGTTAAATAGCGGGGATGAACCAACACAAAACCCATAATTTTCTAATTGTTTTTTTAATAGATTATATAACTCCATACTGTTTATTTCTGGTAATATATAACTACTTACATAATTCTTTAAATGATAATCAATACCACTAGAAAAACCAATATCTAATTTAATTTTTTTGATATCTATTGCTGATAAATCAAAATTATTTAAAAACCCGATGCCCCAATTAATTGATTTAATAGCTTTTTCTATTTTTTCTAAATTTCTTTCATTTGTAATAACTTTTATTAGAGCATCTAATAATTGAAACGAAAATAAAATATTGGGTGATTCTAAATCATCAACAAACCATATACTATTTCCAAACTTTATTTCATTTTTTACTATATATTGGGGGTAAGAAAAAAAAAATAAAAAAAATAAAAATTAAAAAAACTAAAAATATAAAAAATATAAAAAAATAGAAATATTAATAATTACCATTTTCGATTTGTTTAAAATTATTTTTTTTTAAAACCTTAATAAAATTAAGTTTTTCATTTTTAAAATATATAGCTTTTAAATAGCTTCTTTTCATTTTTAATAACATGGTAATAATAATAAAAAAAAAAAAAATAAAAAAAAAATTTTATTTATTCATTCAAAATTTAATATTTATTTACCTTAGTTCTTCATTTTTTATTTAGTTTTGAAAGAAACTTAACAAATATTATAATAAAAAACTATTTAATAGTATCTTTTAGATTATCAAAGATAAAACTAACATTAATCCAACTACTTTAGGTTTATAGATTAAATTTTTAAAAAAATTTGTAAAAAAATATAATAATTACTAAAATAGTTATATTTAAAGAAGAATTATTCTGGCTGTCCAAAAAGTTATTAATATATTGGTATAATTTACATATTAATATTATTCCAAATATAAAACGGAGATTTTAATAATATTTGATACTTTTTTTATAGTTTTATATTTTTTAAAAGGATAAAATCGACAGTTAAAAAATATTATTTAAATTGTTTTATTAAAGTTTTTGTTATATATACAAATAAATATACAGAATTTTGAATAATTTAGAAACATTTTCTGTGGACGATTGATGGACCTGATTCGTCATATTCTTCTTTTGAAATCCACATTTGTTGGAAAGTTGAGAGTGAAGCTAAAATTGAACCACCAATCCAGACAGAGTATTTACGTTCTGGTGGAGCAATGATTTTAATTTTCATGGTTGATGGGGCTAAAGCAGTTAATTCTTTGTTCATACGATCAGCAATACCTGGGAACATAGTTGTACCACCTGATAAGACGACATTACCGTATAAATCTTTACGAATATCAACATCACATTTCATGATTGAGTTGTAAGTGGTTTCGTGGATACCAGCTGATTCCATACCTAAGAATGATGGTTGGAATAAGGCTTCTGGGCAACGGAAACGTTCGTTACCGATGGTGATGACTTGACCATCTGGTAATTCATATGATTTTTCTAAAGCAGATGATGAGGCAGCAGTTTGCATTTCAGCTTCAAAGTCTAAGGCAACGTAGGCTAATTTTTCTTTGATATCTCTGACGATTTCTCTTTCAGCAGTGGTGGTGAATGAGTAACCACGTTCAGTTAAGATTTTCATCAAGTAATCGGTTAAATCACGACCAGCTAAATCTAAACGTAAGATGGCATGTGGTAAAGCATAACCTTCGTAGATTGGAACAGTGTGGGAGACACCATCACCTGAATCCATGACAATACCGGTGGTACGACCTGAGGCGTATAATGATAAGACGGCTTGAATGGCGACGTACATGGCTGGGGTGTTGAAGGTTTCGAACATAATTTGGGTCATTTTTTCTCTGTTAGCTTTTGGATTTAATGGGGCTTCAGTTAATAAGACTGGGTGTTCTTCTGGGGCAACACGTAATTCGTTGTAGAAAGTATGATGCCAGATTTTTTCCATATCATCCCAGTTGGTAACGATACCGTGTTCAATTGGGTATTTGAGGGTTAAGATACCTCTCTTTGATTGGGCTTCATCACCAACATATGAGTCTTTTTGACCCATACCGACCATAACACCAGTGTGTCTTGGACGACCAACAATTGATGGGAAAACAGCTCTTGGAGCATCATCACCAGCAAAACCGGCTTTGCACATACCTGAACCGTTATCGATAACTATAAATTTAAATGAAAATTTTGATGTTAATAAATATTATTTTTTTTAAAAAAAAAAAAATTTTAATATTTTTCTAAAATATATTTTAACATACCTAAAGCTTGAACATCTTCACCTTCCATTTTATTTGTATATATATTTATTTGATTTTAAAAGTAATTAATAAAAAAAAATTAAAAAAGATTAATTTATATAAAAAAAAAAAATTAAAAAAAAAAAAAAATAAAATTTTTTTAAAAAAAATTAAAATAAAATGGATTTCCCATTTTTAATAATAAAAATATCCATTTTTTTTTTTTTTCTGCTTTACCAAACGAACCATGTGAATGGCATGGATACATGATGGTATTTATTATTATTATTTTATATATTATAATTTTTAATATTATTATTATTAGTATTTTTTATTTTTAATATTTTTTGAATATCTATTTATAAATATTCCTAGTAAATATTTTGAATTAAACAATAAAAAAATTATAAATTAATTATAAATTAATTATAAATTAATTATAAATTTATTAAAAAAGTATAAAAATAAAAATTATTTTTTTATTCTTTATTTTTTGTAGAGATAATAGCTTCAGTTTTTTTTTTATTATTATTTTATTTGAATATAACAGCAAAATTACAAAAATTTTATTGGAAACAATAATTTTTTTGTGTGGGTGTGAATGGGTTTTGAAAAAAAATATTTTTTTTTTAATTTTTATATTTTTTATATTTTATTTTTTTTTTTAAAATTTTTTTTTATAAAAATCCAGATTAATTTTTTTTTATTTTTTTCATTAATTCAAATTTAATAAATAATATATATACAAATAAAATGGAAGGTGAAGATGTTCAAGCTTTAGGTATGTCAAATTAAAATAAAATAATTATTCCTTTTTTTTATATTTGTGAAAATTTCAAACATTTAAAAAAAAGCAATTCATAGTTTAAAGTTTGCAAAATTGAATTTCAATATTAATTATTTTAATTTAATTAAATAGTTATCGATAACGGTTCAGGTATGTGCAAAGCCGGTTTTGCTGGTGATGATGCTCCAAGAGCTGTTTTCCCATCAATTGTTGGTCGTCCAAGACACACTGGTGTTATGGTCGGTATGGGTCAAAAAGACTCATATGTTGGTGATGAAGCCCAATCAAAGAGAGGTATCTTAACCCTCAAATACCCAATTGAACACGGTATCGTTACCAACTGGGATGATATGGAAAAAATCTGGCATCATACTTTCTACAACGAATTACGTGTTGCCCCAGAAGAACACCCAGTCTTATTAACTGAAGCCCCATTAAATCCAAAAGCTAACAGAGAAAAAATGACCCAAATTATGTTCGAAACCTTCAACACCCCAGCCATGTACGTCGCCATTCAAGCCGTCTTATCATTATACGCCTCAGGTCGTACCACCGGTATTGTCATGGATTCAGGTGATGGTGTCTCACACACTGTTCCAATCTATGAAGGTTATGCTTTACCACATGCCATCTTACGTTTAGATTTAGCTGGTCGTGATTTAACTGATTACTTGATGAAAATCTTAACTGAACGTGGTTACTCATTCACCACCACTGCTGAAAGAGAAATCGTCAGAGATATCAAAGAAAAATTAGCCTACGTTGCCTTAGACTTTGAAGCTGAAATGCAAACTGCTGCCTCATCATCTGCTTTAGAAAAATCATATGAATTACCAGATGGTCAAGTCATCACCATCGGTAACGAACGTTTCCGTTGCCCAGAAGCCTTATTCCAACCATCATTCTTAGGTATGGAATCAGCTGGTATCCACGAAACCACTTACAACTCAATCATGAAATGTGATGTTGATATTCGTAAAGATTTATACGGTAATGTCGTCTTATCAGGTGGTACAACTATGTTCCCAGGTATTGCTGATCGTATGAACAAAGAATTAACTGCTTTAGCCCCATCAACCATGAAAATTAAAATCATTGCTCCACCAGAACGTAAATACTCTGTCTGGATTGGTGGTTCAATTTTAGCTTCACTCTCAACTTTCCAACAAATGTGGATTTCAAAAGAAGAATATGACGAATCAGGTCCATCAATCGTCCACAGAAAATGTTTCTAAATTATTTATTTGTAATATATACCCCAAACTTTTAATAAAACAATTTAAATAATATTTTTTAAATGTAGATTTTATCCTTTTAAAAAATATAAAACTAAATAACATTTTTTTCAAATTATTTAATTTTAAAATTTTTTTTTTTTTCTAATTTTTTTTTATTATTTTTTTTCACAAAAAGAAATAAAAAGTATTACAATTTGATTCTATTATTTTTAAATTATTTGAAATCCTAAAAAAAATTTTAACTTTTTTTTGTAATAATCGCTAAACACGAATTTTTGACTTACCCTTTCAATAAGAATGGTGCAAAGGTTAACAAGACTTTTATTAATTTATTTTTAAAAGAGTTTTTAGTAATTTATTTATGATTATTTAATTATTTGATTTTTGTAAAAAAATTTTTATGCATTTTTGATTTCAAACAATCCGGCTTTGGCGCAATGGTAGCGCGATTGACTGTAGTAATATCCTGTTATCAATCGGTTGCTAGTTCGAGTCTGGCAAGCCGGAATCTTTTTATTGGTACCATCTTTCAGGAGATGATCGAATCTTCCAGGAGATATAAATTGTAATGTATTCATATGCATTTTAGAATTAAATGAATATTACAGTTATAGTTATATCTCAACTAAATAATATTTATATTTTCCTTTATTTTAAATAATTTATTATTTAAAATTAAAAATTAAAAATAAAATAAAAATAAAAAAATTGAAAAATTTAAAAAATAAAATTTTATTTTTTGGTTTTCAGTTTTCAGTTTTAGTTTTCACAAACAAATAATTGTATATTTATTTGATTATTAGAATTATTTATATTTATTATTTATCTATAACTAAAGTAGCTCCATCTACATTACAAAATGGTGTTGAAAGAAACTACCAGCGTAAAACACATACTAAATATAAAATTGTATACCGCGATCAAGAGATACAATTACTTTTTCTAATACAAGCACGAGCAATATTTTGATATATGAAAATAAAAAGAAAAAATGAAATAAATTTATTTATTATTGTTTATATTTTTAAAAATTAACTCTATCGAGTTTTTGATATGGGGTAGGTCTGGATAAATTCTTTCTAATTTGGATGTATCCAAATGGTTATTACTTCTACCACATTTTAATATTTTAGATTGTTCTTCTTCAGTAAAGTTTTCATAAACAAATTGTGGATCTATATATTGGATATAAAGATTTAAGACCTCGTTATGACTGATAACACCTGGATTAACGAAATTGAAAATACCTTTTAATTGTTTTAATGTCATATCCAAAGCAACTGGTAATAAATCGGGTAGCACAGTACAACTATTTGGTATATTTACAACACGCTTGTAGTTTTTGATTTTTGTAATAAAGTTTCTAGGTTCTTCCAATGATTCTGATATTGGCATTCTTAAACGTAATGTTAAAGTATTTGGATAGTGCTTTGATAACTTTTCAACCATTTGTTTAGTGACGCTATAATGTGAGTCAAAATAATTAAATTCCTCCTCTTCGGTAAACCCTATACCACTATTAACTGGATGCTTATCATCATATTTATATACACAACCTGTTGCAAAATTTGTAATATGAATGTTTTTTAAATAACAACAATCTATTAGATTTAATGTACCTATTACATTTGATCTATAAATATTAAGTTAATAATAAAAAATAAGTAATTAAGATATTTTGAAATTTAATTTTCCTACCTTATAGTTTCTTGTTTATTATCTTCACACCAATCGACATTGGGTCTACCAGTAACACCTGCGCAATTAATTACTGAAATTGGTTTTATTGAGTCTAGTTCCTTTAATATCTCTTCCCTATTTTCTAATCTACAGCTTGAAACATAAACATCAATACTCTTTTCTTTCATTAATTCATACATTTTTTTACCAATCCATCCTGTTTTCCCACCATATAATATTATAATATTGCTAGTAATTGGATTCATTCTTCTAAATTTTATTTTTATTTTTATTTTCTAATTATCTGTATCTTAATAAAATGTAAAAAAAAAAATATAATTTATTGTGTGGGGGTTTTTTTTTTTTTTTTTAATAAATGAAAAAAAAAAAATAGAAAATATTTTCAACACCTATTTTATAAAAAATTAAAAAAAAATATAAAACTGAATTTAAATAATATGTGAAGATGTTTTGAATGTAAATAATTAAATATTAGATGACAAATTAATAAAATTAAATAAAATTAATTTCAAGAGTATGATAAACTAAACCTATTAAATGCATGCCATCAGTTGTAGAAAGTGAAACTAGTTTTATTAATTTTTATTAAAATAAATATTATTTTATAAATATAAATATAAAAAAAACATTGTTATTTTTTTTTTAGATTATCTTTTTTTTTTATAAAATTTTATAATTTTATGTTTTTTTAAAATTTTTTTTATTTTTTTTTTAAAAATTTTTTTTTTATTTAATTTTATTTATCATTTTTTCAAAAGGAAATTAAATTTAAATTAAATCAAATAAAAATAAAAAATGGTTGTTGGATCATTATTGTTATTTATTGGATTTCCATATATAGTCCTTAAATCAGTTTTATCCGTTTTATTTACATTTTTAACAGTATATTACATTGTTGACCAATTTTTATTACCAAAGTTAAGAGAAAAACCTTTATCCTCATATAAAGGCAAAGTTGTTATTATTACCGGCGCAAGTGGCGGTATTGGTGAAGAATGTGCAAAACAATATGCTAGATTAGGTTCAAAGTAAACTATCAAATAAATACATATATAATTAATAATATAAATGATACTAATAATTATTTATATTTTTAGGGTTGTATTGGTTGCTAGAAGAACCGAACAATTAAATAGAGTTAAAGAAAATATTTTAAAAAATTATTCAAGAGTTAAAGACGAAGATCTTTTAGTAGTTAAGGCTGATTTAACTATCCAAGATGATTGCAAGTATGTAAAATTATTTCATTTAAAACAGTGTATTTTAAAATATAGCATTGGTTTTATTAACACAAGTATATATTATTATTATTAATATTCAAATAGACAAATGGTTCAAACTGTCATAGATAATTATTCAAAGATTGATATTTGTGTTTGGAATGCTGGTTTAGGTTCTTTAATTGAATTTAGTAAATTAGGTGATGATATTCAAATTTATAGAGATAACATGGAAATTAATTATTTCTCATTAGTCTATTGTACCCATTTAGTATTCCCATATTTAATTCAATCTAAAGGTTCCATTGTGGTTATTTCTTCATTGGCTGGTAAATTTGGTACTGCTTTAAGAACCAGCTACTCTGCAAGTAAACATGCTGTCCAAGGTTTCTTCAATTCACTCCGTCACGAAACTAAAGATATTCAAATTACCATTGTCAATCCAGGTTTCATTTTGACTGAATTCCACGATAATTTAAAAACACTCGATGGCAACAAAGTCGAAAGAAACAAAGGTAATTTTATGACCGCTGAAAGATGTGCCGCTGAAATTCTCGAAGCCGAACGTCAACGTCGTAGGGAATTAATTCAAAGTGCAAAAGGTAAATTTGGTGTAATCGTTCAAAATATAGCACCAGATTTAGTTGATTTCTTATCACATAAATTTGCAAGCTCATCTGTTAAAAAATAAAAAAATAAATAAATTTAACCTTGTTTTTTTTTTTTTTTTTTTTTTTTTATAAATAATACACAAAAATAAATTTTTATTTATTTTTTAAAGATGTTTTTGTTTTTGATTTTGTTTTTGATTTTGTTGGTATTAATAAATAAATTTTGTTGGTTTAGTTATATTGTTGAGTTTTTTTTTTTTGTTATTGTTTTTTACTTTTCAAGTTCAACTACATATTCTTTTGGGAAAGTACCATAAACACCTTTTGTTTCACCTTCCCACATATTTCCAGTCTTTTTGAAAACGTAAACTAAATCGTCTTGAATTAATGTTAATGTTTTATTGTTTGCTGGGATATAATCTCTAACAACACGACATGTGCAAAGAATTTTTGGTGTGTCATCTTCATCATCTGACCATCCATCATCGTCGTCGCTTTCTACTTTTTTTGGTGCTGGTTTTGGTGGGGCTGATGGTGATGGTCTTGGTGCAGCAACTGGAGCTGATGATGGTGGTGGTGCGGAACTACCCATTGGTTTTGGTGGTCCTGCTGGTGATGCTAAAAATATTTAAAAAATTATAAATTAGTATTGGTTTTAATAAATGATAATGGCAGTGTACTATTAATAGTAGTAGCTATCTTACGTTTCATTGGAGCACCTGATGGTGGTGCAACACCTGGTCTTGCACCAACTGGTGGTGGGGCACCTGGTCTTGCGCCAACTGGTGGTGGAGCACCGCCTGCTGGTTTTAATGGGGCACCTGTTGGTGGTGGACCAGCTGGTTTAGCACCAAATGATGGTGGTGGGGCACCGCCTGCTGGTTTGAATGGTGCACCTGTTGGTGGTGGACCAGCTGGTTTAGCACCAAATGATGGTGGTGGAGCACCACCTGCTGGTTTTAATGGTGCGCCTGTTGGTGGGGCAACACCTGGTCTTGCACCTACTGGTGGTGGAGCACCACCTGCTGGTTTTAATGGTGAACCTGTTGGTGGTGGAGCACCACCTGCTGGTTTTAATGGTGAACCAAAAGCTGGTTTTAATGGAGCTGGGGCTGGTTTAGCTGCTGGTTTGAATCCAAAACTCATTTTATTGACTGGAGTGATTATATGATTATGGGTGTGATAAAATTACAACAAATATTGAAATAACAAATAATTATATTAAGAAATCTAAAAATTTTAAAAAAAATACACTATCTTTTTTATTTCTTAAGTTTCTCTAAAAATATAAAAAAAGCTATAAATTAAAATAAAAATAATAAAAATAATGACTTTATTTTTTTTTTTTTTTTTTTTTTTTTTCACCCAAGATATTTTTTTCAATTTTTTTTTAAATTTTGATGGCTTTTTTTTTTTGGTTACAATAATTTGCAATGATAAAAATTTAACTTTTTTTTTTATAATTATAAATATATTATAATAATATTATTATAAAAATATTTTATTATTAAAATAAAATTTTTTTTGAAAAAAAAAAAAAACTAAAAAAAATTGTGTTAAATAAAAACTAAAAAAACTGAAATGGGTGTTATCGAAAATATATTTTTATTCTTTTTATTTTATTTTTATTTTTATTTGTCACATTATTCTTTTTGTTCTTCAGATTTACCATTACTATTGCTGTTATTTACCAACATTGCTTCTAAAACACTTTTTGAAGATCTTTTTAAAGGATAGAAATAATCAAACATGTCACCTTCATAACGATATAATTCTTTACCAATTGGACAAGCATCTCTAATTTTTAAACGAGTTTCTAAATTACACCAACCTTCATCGATGGCAATTTGAGTGTGTTTTTTCATTTCAGATTTATCAAAGTCTGATAATAAATCTTTGGGTGGTAAAACAGGTGATTTGCCTTCATAGTTGATTTTAATGATAACTACACTTCTAAAAACAAACCATAAGCCATAGGTTGGATGGACACACCACATTACATCTTGATCATAGGCAGCAACACCTGCGAAATGACCACATGTTTGGATGTGGACATATTTACCACTGGCAGGTGTATTGAAATCATAACGAATTTCGTGTTCATATTCTTGAATTTTTTGGTTATTCTTTATAACATTTTCGATGGTATCGATTACAAATGAATTCATTGGATCTTTTGGAATTTCGTTAATTCTTTTAATAAATTCTTCAAAGTGTTTCCAAAAATTTTTAGTACATCCAATAATAATACCTGTTGCATCTTCAATTTCAAAATTATTTAATTTATGTAATGCTGCGCCATTATATTCATTAACCTAAAACAATTTTAAAAAAAAAAACAATTAATACCTCTATAAATTAAATATTTACAGCAATATTGTATTGTATATTTACTCTAAATGGTTCGACAATATCAAAACCCTTTTCCTTGAAATCCTTTTTTAATGACTGAATTAAGTTATCCATTTCTTTTTATTATTTATGAATATATGTTTATTTCTATTTTGTGCTAATAAATAATTTCGTTCTTAAAGCTACACATAAGTAATATTAAAAATATAATATAAAGATGTCTTTGTAATGTGCTTTAAGTTACTGTGTAATATTATATTATTATTATTATATATTTTTAGTTTTATAAAAACAAATAAACAATGAAAAAAAAGTGGTTAAAAAAAAAAAAAATAAAAAAATATAAAATAAAAAAATTTAAAAAATAAAAAAAAATGAAAATAAAAAATTTAAAAAATAAAATTTAAATTAAAGATACACACATTTATTTTTAAATAAAATTACACGTATTATTTGTATTTTTAATATTATGACTGTACAAAAATATATAACTACATAACTATGTAGGAAAGAATAGAACGGGTTTCAGTTTTCATAATCATGGTTAATATATACACTGTGGTTGTTTTTGTTTGTTTTTTTTTTACAGTTAGAAAAATTCAAATTTAAATTTATTAAAAGTTGGTTGTGTAGTTGTAACACACATTTTTTTTTACTCTACAAATCTGGATAGTGTGACAACTATTAGATTTATATTTAATCAAAAAGAAAGAGATTTTACAAAGGTGCGCCACCCAAATTTTTTTTTTTTTCAAGTTTTACAAAAAACATATTCTTCAAATTTGTCAATTGTAATTTGCCAAAAAAACCATTTTTTTTATTATTTTTTTCTTTTAATATAATGGGTTGGTTCTAATTGGTTTTTATAGTGGCGAGTATTTCTAATTAACGCAATAATCATAAAAATCAAAATAAACCGCAATTAAATCATAAAAAAAAAAAAAAAAAAAAAAAAGGGTTTGTATTTTATTTATTATTGATCGATTTAATGTTATTGTAATTATAATGGGTCGTATTCACTATTGTTGTTTTTTAAATACCTTTCTTCACTCCTCTCCTTTCCCAAACACCAATAATAACAAAACACACGCCCATAATTTCTTTACGATTTAAATACAGTAATAATATTGGTTATTTTATTGCATAGTAATATTTATTTCTTCTCTCCACTTAAATATTAATACCATTATTAAAGTCGAACCAATACAATAGAAAAATTTACATAGTTATTTTTTATTTTATTTTTTATTTTTTATTTTTATTTTTTATTTTTTATTTTTTATTTTTAATGTTAATTTTTCTTAAGCCTCACCCATTAATAAAAGCACACTTTTTTATTTCTTTGTATTTTTATTTAATAAAAAAAAAATAAAATAAAATAAAAAATAAAAAAAATTCAAAAAAAATCATTTTTTGCTTAAAATCAAAAATCTGCAATAATATCTCTTTTTTTTTTTTTTTCCAATAATATTTAAATTAAAATAAATTAAATAAATAATAAAAATACATACCACCCACTTTATAAATAAATATTTTCATGAAATGAATCTTAATCAATTAATAGTCGAACTAAACGAAGTTTATTAATTTATACAATAAAAAATATTATTATTTTCTTTCCTAAAATTTAAATTAACATAAACACTAATATTGTGATAATAAGTTTACAAAATCAATATTAATAATTAT